ATTATATTTTGTACTTAAGAATAGATGCTTGTGTCATATTCTCTTTATGAAATTAGGCTACATTTGGTTTATCACTTAAAATGTTCCTGGTGTTTCCTATTTAATTTAGATTTTAAAAACTGAATTATAGTCTTTTAAAGATTTGCTCATGTTGAATTGAAAACTATTTCTTTTTGGGGGAGAAAGTAATTTGCCCTTTTTTCCTCATCTGCCTACTCAGTATCACTAACCTTTGTGTGCCAAGGAAAATCCCCAGTGGGACTGTCACTGGCCTTTGGGATTTTATTCTGTTCTGCATGTCAGGGCAGAGAACATCGTCTGTCATCTGTCCTTTGGGCAGCACAGGGCGAGCCAATGGGTCTGGTTGTTGTTACGCGACTAACACGGGCTGAAAAATACAACTAGTAATAAGAGAGGGAACCACTGTTAGATCTGATTTAAAACTGGGTGAGCAAAATGTATTAATAATGTTCCACTAAAGGTTCATCCTGGACTTTGCCATTTAACACCCTCCCCGTGCTTCGGTTCCAAAATCAGCTGAATGTTGTGTGGTAATTGGGCATGCAGGGTTTTACTGTGCAGCATTTGAACTAATTACTGTGGTGGAAGTTACGAAGATACAGTTACTTTTAATTCAGCTGAACAAAAAATTGAAAGTTATATTATTGTAAACGACATTTTCAGGGGAGGATGGAAGTTTTAGGTGAATTGCTTGTTGCAGGCAAAGTATTTTGCTTTTCTAAGAAATGCATGCAACAGCTTCTCCCATTTCACTCCACTCATACTTTGCATTTGTAGTCTATTAAAACACTAAACTGATTTTGCAGCTAATCACTCATTATCAAACACAAAACAGCCAAAAATGTTTTCTGTTTTAATAAATACTAAATTGAAGTTGGTCATGTATGTTGACTGCAGTGTGTAGTAACGCCAGCAAACTCCTCCCACCCCATTAAGTATATTATTTAAAGAAAACCAACCCAAACCAACCCCCTCATGCTTATTGGTAATAGTGATCAAAGCTGTACGTTTTTCAGGTCATGTCTATGATTGTTGCTGGACGGAATTTATATTCTTGTTAAAAGCAAATTCGACCTGTGATCCTCAGATTAATAATTCCTTCCTGATTGCTGAAGAAATGTTGTTAATCAAGGAAACTGTATAATATAAAAGATACGTAAATAAGATTTTCAAACACGAAGTATGAATTTAAAAATCGGTTTCACTTTGTGGTGTACCTGCACTGGGATTTGCTAACACAGAATACCTGTGGTTTCTGTTCCTCGTGCCTTGTTTACAATCTTTGCTCAGCTCACAGAGGAGGGATAGAAATGCCTCTGGTGGACTCAGTGCTTTTATTCCAGATTTTTGCATAAATAAAGAGGAACTGATTCTTAAAAATTTTCAAATTGGTTTCCCCTTTCAGTTTTAACAACTTTAAAAATGAAAGAAAATATTGTGAATTTCTATGAAGAGTTGGTTTCCTAGAAAGTTGAAGGAAATCTTTGTTTTAAAAAAAGAAAACTCCAAACAAGTGAAAAAAGGTCTCTTGATTTAATCATATAAAACATTTTGCTTTCATTGTTTTTCCCAAATGTTTAAAGTACTTCTGGATTAAGTAGGACTGTGCTACCAGTTATTGGATTCACAGGAGCGAATTCCTTTTAGTATAAAGAAAATGGAAAAGCATCTTTTGGCTATCTGCTTCTGGAGACAAGAACATAAAAACTGCTCTCTTCAGGATCTGTGCTCAAACTCTTACGTTTGTCAGGCAGCAGAGTCACAGTTTTTGCAGCTTGCTGTTTACTTTGTGAATATTTTTTTTCATTCTCTTCATCTGTCCCATTTCTGACAAGCTTTACCGCAGCAGCCATTGATGTTATAACCAGTTGCTCCAGTAAATATTTGGATGCTCTGAGTCTGTTGCACATTTTTGCTCTATTTGGTGAATCTGTGACTTGTGGAATGCACTACAGTGATCCCACTGCCCCCAGAGCAGGGAAGGCACAGCACAGGTACCTGCTGCTCCAGAGAGGGATTGCTGATTTCATGTCCCCTATGCGGAATTATTGTAATCCCTGTCAAAGTCACCACTTTCAGATTAGTCCGTGGTTATTGTTGAGAGTATAATCTGAACCTCATAAAGAGCAACTATGCTGATGGTACAGGAAAGGGAGTAACTATGGATTTGCAAAGCCTTGGGAAGCAGAGGGGTTTGAGCTGTGTGTGCTCTGCTTCCCAGCCAAGCGCTCTTGGTGGGATATTGTCTGGAGTAGGTGTGCTTGGCTGTTTTCTACTTTTAATATGGACATCTCTTGCTTTTTATAGTTCTTCCCCCTGATAATTTTCTTTTCATCTTGTTTCTCTTACATATCCTCGAAATCTGGTCTCTTATTTAATGAATTATTTTGCTCCCTACTCTAAGCCGTCTTTCTAAGCTGTTTTGTCATCTTGCTCTTCCATCCCACATCTTCCCTTTATTTCCAGTCTCCTAAGCGCTCCCAAACTTGAGCATTGCTTTAACCACCATCTTTTGAGGGAGAGGAGAAAGGAAACTATTAAAGAAGCAGCTCCCTTTTATCTCTTCTTGTCGGTCGTGGTGCCATTTTTGTGAGTGTGGAGACGTCTCGCTTGGTGCTCTTGATCCTCCCTCCCAGGCCTGCCCTGCACAGCTCTCCTCGGGCAGCACCGGCCTTCTCGCAGCACCAGCATATGGAACTCAGGTTTTGGCTTTTACAAGACCTTTTATTGGAACAATGTATTTCAAGCCACTTTTAAATCCTCCTGTCATGTCTCAAAGGCAGTGTTGAATCGCACCACCCACGGGGTTGAAAAAAATCTCCCATAACTCCTCTTACCTGATTCCTTGGTTGGCTCAACTTCTTATCTTCTGGCCTGGCCTGCTGCTCCTTTTTTCCCTTTGTTCGTTCCTACTCTGCTAAGGATGTTCCTCAGCTCATTTCTCTGACCCTGCTGACCCTTTTTAAGTCATTTCACAGGCTGCCTTCCCCTTCCATGTCTTATCTGGGATTCTGGTCTTGGTTTAACACCTGTGTAGCAAATCTAGATTAGCAGGTAAGTGTTCAACCTCCTTCCTTAGCTCTGTGCTATAACCAGTCGGCTGTATCCAGGAATATGCTGGATGCTTCCTTCCTTTCCAGCCATTGCATGTATGGGAGGGAATCCAGGTAAATCCAAGTGGCTCCTTTCACATTCTCTTTCGGATTTGTCATACGCTTGTCGATTATTATGGAAGAAGTTCATCACCCTGTGAGGGTGGTGAGGCCCTGGCACAGGTTGCCCAGAGAAGCTGTGGCTGCCCCATCCCTGGAAGTGTCCAAGGCCAGGTTGGACAGGGCTTGGAACAATCTGGGATAGTGGAAGGTGTCTCTACCCATGGCAGGGGGTTAGAAGGAGATGTTAGGCTTTTCCTGGCATCATGAGTAGAAAGGTGAAGAGCTGAGACTGTTTTCCCTTCCTTTCTCTAAAATGCTTTCTTTTGCTTTAATTTAATTAAATTTTAAAAGCAGCAATATGACTTGGTTTAGCATGTTATTTCTTCATCTTGCTGAATCTTCGTAAGGCTACCAAATTATCACCCTCCTTTCTTGAAAAGCTACAGGTGAAATGTGTGAATAAGACTTTGTCAAAGAGAGAGAGAACTTTTTCTAAACTTGGAACAATTTTTCACAGTATCAGAACACCTCTAATTGGAAGAGCTAATCACACCAAAATATTTAGGATTTAAATTAATGCATATTAGGTATCTGCTGGTAACAGCTTGTTTGGGAGATTTACTGTATCCGTCTTCCCCATGAAAATATTCATTTAATTCAAATGACAAAGAATGAAAGTCAGGTTTTGACAGATCTACAGCAGGTAAAAACCAACTGACTTCCAAAATTTGTTACTTTGGTATATGCAGCCAGTTAAGAGGAACTCTTCTGAAAGATTATCTCCAGTATGGATCCCTTGGATCTGGTTGAACTACTTGGTATCAAATTCCCATCAAAAGAAACTAAGAGGAATAACCTTGTATAGAACAATTGGGGTGGAAAGTAAATGCAAGAACTTGACCAAAGCTTGAGTTCCTAGCATGAGTTGTGCCTCCCAGTTTAACTTTATGCTCTAGCAAGCAAGTAGATACTCAAGAGCTTTCGTTTAAATTTTTTGGATTAGCATCTATGAGGATGTGGCAGTGCTGAAAAGGCACTGGCTATCTGTCCAGCACAGCATTGCTTTCCATTGGGTTGGGGAGAAGTAGGACCATGTATACAAGTGCAAAGGAATGTTTAAACCATATATAAAACCTTTGAGAGGTAAGTTTCTTGACAAAACTGTCCCTTATTTAGAGGTGCCCGAGTTCTCTGCTAAAATATAAAATAGTGGTGTTTATAATTGGCACCAAACAATAGAGGTCGTTGTCTGTATTTGTTCTTTATTTGCAGGAAGGGTGAAAAACCTAAATGCAGTATGAATTTAGTGTGTTAAATGTGATGTGAGTGTGTGTGTGTTTAATAATAGCTCATGGCAGGCAGACATTTTTACATTTTTTAATTGGATGCTTTTTCTTTGTGTTTCCCTAAAGAATGAGAATTTAGTCAAACTAAATGGCAAGAGTCTGCTAGATACTCTTCTGTGTTTTTTCCAAATTTACTTTTTAGGTTCTTCACATGGATTAGTGTATTTGCTCACCTTATTTTGTTACCTGCTTATTATTTTAACTAGTACAATAAGGGTTACAAAACTTTTCCTCTGTTCTAAAATGGGATTGTTTCATTATTTTAATTGAGAGTTTTTCCAGATTAAAGAGAGAGACAAATTATTATGAGCATCGTGCTCTATTGTGGTGGGGAAAGTCGCTGTATTGTGTTAGAGAATGTTCTCTAGATTGCAGCAGAATGGGGTGTTTAACTAGTGATGTAAAACAGTACTTACTTAATAGAGGGCTTTTGCAGTGCTTGAACACTGGACTCATTTTTAACCTTGGATCCTTTCAGATCTCAGCCACAGTGGATTGGGAGACCATTATGAGAATTCCCACTGGGGACAGCAGCCCGCTTTCAGGAGTGAAGGCAACTGCAGCTGGGATAAAGTGATAATAGACAGGACTGACAAGGAAGCGTGGCCTTCCATAACCGGAGCTGAGACTGAGTCTGCCTCAGAATGTACTACAGACACTGACTCTGCCTCCAACTGTGGCTCAGAGAACAGTAGCATGGCTACAGGGAGTGCCCAAGGCAACTTCACTGGACATACAAAGAAAACTAATGGCAATAATGGCGCCAACGGAGCACTCGTCCAAAGCACTTCTAACCAGAGTGCCCTTGGAGCTGGTGGAGCAAACGGCAACGGCAGCTCGGCCAGGGTGTGGGGGGTGGCTGCAGGCTCCAGCTCTGGCCTAGCTCACTGCTCTGCCAGTGGTGGGGATGGAAAGATGGACAACATGATGGGAGACGGTAGAAGTCAGAACTGCTGGGGTGCTTCCAACTCGAATGCTGGCATTAATCTTAACCTTAACCCTAATGCCAATCCAGCTGCCTGGCCTGTACTTGGACATGAAGGAACTGTGGGAGCAGGCAACCCTTCCAGTATTTGCAGTCCAGTCAGTGCCATAGGTCAGAACATGGGCAACCAGAATGGGAACCCAACAGGCACCTTGGGTGCTTGGGGAAACTTGCTGCCGCAAGAGAGCACAGAACCACAAACGTCCACTTCTCAGAATGTGTCTTTCAGCGTACAACCTCAGAACCTTAACACTGATGGACCAAATAACACTAACCCCATGAACTCTTCACCAAACCCTATCAATGCAATGCAGACAAACGGACTGCCGAACTGGGGGATGGCTGTTGGCATGGGGGCCATCATCCCGCCCCACCTGCAAGGCCTTCCTGGTGCTAACGGAACATCGGTTTCTCAAGTCAGCGGGGGCAGTGGTGAAGGAATGGGCAGTTCAGTGTGGGGGATGTCCCCAGGTAATCCTGCCACAGGAAACAGCAATTCTGGGTTCAGTCAGGGGAATGGAGACACTGTGAACTCAGCATTAAGTGCTAAACAAAACGGATCCAGCAGTGCTGTGCAAAAGGAAGGAAACGGAGCGAACGCGTGGGATTCGGGGCCTCCGTCCGGTCCCGGGGTCCTGGCGTGGGGCAGGGGCGGTGGCAGCAGCGGTGTTGGTGGTGTGCATTCTGGAGCTTGGGGCCACCCCAACCGTAACACCAGCAACGGTGTCAACGGGGAGTGGGGCAAGCCCCCAAACCAGCATTCCAATAGCGACATCAATGGGAAAGGATCAACAGGGTGGGATAGCTCTAGTGTTACCAGTCCGAACCCTGCCATGCAGCAGGGCAATGAACAAATGAACTCTTGGGCCAAAGCTGCAGCATCTGGCACCACGGCTAGTGAAGGAAGCAATGACAGCGGTGGGAGTCAAAATGAAGGCAGTACTGGGAGGGAGGGGGCTGGAGAGGGCAGGAGGAGAGACAAAGGGATGATAGACCAAGGGCAAGTTCAGTTGCCAAGAAATGACCTTGACCCCAGGGTCCTGTCCAATACGGGGTGGGGACAGACCCCTGTAAAGCAAAACACTGCCTGGGAATTTGAAGAGTCCCCAAGGTCTGAACGGAAGAATGACAATGGAACAGAGGCCTGGGGTTGTGCAGCTACTCAATCTTCAAACTCAGGGGGGAAGAACGATGGGTCCATCATGAACAGTACAAATACCTCTTCAGTATCTGGGTGGGTCAACTCTCCACCGGCAGCTGTTCCAACAAATACAGGTTGGGGAGACAATAACAACAAAGCACCAAATGGCCCGGGGGGGTGGGGAGAGTCAGCAAGCTCTACTACTGTTAATAATGCTGCTGCTGCCAAAAGCGGCCACGCTTGGAGTGGGACCGCAAATCAGGAGGACAAATCACCTACCTGGGGTGAACCTCAGAAACCCAAATCTCAAAACTGGGGAGATGGACAGAAATCAAATCCAAGCTGGACTTCAGGAGGTGGAGACTGGACAGATTCATCATCTGTTCCTGGACACTTGGGTGATGGGAAGAAGAATGGATCTGGATGGGATTCTGACAATAGATCGGGGTCTGGCTGGAATGATTCTGCAAGGTCTGGGACCAGTGGGTGGGGAAATGGCACAAACAGCAAGGCTAATACAGGTACAAGTTGGGGGGAATCTTTAAAGCCGGGCCCCCAACAAAATTGGGCTAATAAACCCCAGGACAACAATGTGAGTAACTGGGGAGGAGCTGCTTCTGTAAAACAGACGGGGTCAGGGTGGGTTGGTGGGCCAGTGCCAGCCAAACAAAAAGAGAACTGTGAGGCAACTGGCTGGGAAGAGCCATCGCCACCGTCCATTCGCCGCAAGATGGAAATCGATGATGGTACCTCAGCTTGGGGCGACCCAAATTACAACAACAACAAGACTGTAAACATGTGGGATAGAAATAATCCTATAATTCAGAGCAGTACCACAACCAACACCACCACCACTAGCACCATTATCAACACCAACATGGTTGAACCTCAGCCATCGCACCAGTCAAGTGCCCAGCCGAACCGGTCCCCGCTGCTTGGCCCAGGTATGAAAAGTTTTATAAGTTATTTTATGGTTTTATGAAGTACTTCTTACCAGTACCAATTAACTGAACGCTGTCTGTCCTGTCAGCGTGTAGTTGGCACATTAAAGGTTGAAATCCTGTATTTATGTCACAGAATATGTTTGTTTCTTCACTCTGAAGCTGTTCTAACGTCTCATCTTGAGGACAGTGCTTATGTGACCCAACACAAATTTCCATAGTCCAGGTGAATGTAAGAAAGGCCTGAAACAGTGTCTGGTCAATAACCTGGCAGGTTCTTTGATGGTGGACCCATATTTATTTTGGCATCTCTTCCCCAGTTACTTTTAATTCAACCATTTGAGAGTTTGGGGTTTTTTGGCAAACCTTTCTTTTCTTATTTGTCTCCTGTTCCCAGTGCACGGGCTCTGTTCATGTTTAGATAGTCTGCATCTGTTTCTTTGCTGCAAACCATATCTCTTGGCAACACATGTTTGTTTAAAGTTGCATGAATTTAGAGTTTTGCTGTTTCTCTGTCTTGTTGTCTTTTATGAAGGAATGGGCAGTATCCTGGATTTTGTGTGATGCTCGTGAAGCAGGATTGGTTAAACACATTAATATTCAGGATGGCTGGGAAAAGTTATTCTAACTTCAGCCGTGCTTCAAAGACAAGTTTTTAGACATCTAGGAATTTCTCTAATCAAAGACAGGGTACTCTTGTGGACAATCAGCAAGGAATAAAAATGCATAAAAAGTGAGAAAAATGCTTAAGGGGCAGGTATTTAAATAAAAGTTAACACCAGCAGCCCTGATCTGTATCATGACCACAGACCTCTCTGAAATTAATCTAATCTTGCAATGCTGTTACAAATTCTTCATCTGATTTTTGTCTCCAGGTTTTTGTTCCGTCTTGGTCATGACTAAGTACTCTCTTTTTAACCACAGTTTTTTCCAAGTGGAATTTGTTCCCTCGTTTCCAACAGTTTTCTCTTTGATGTTGTGAAATAATTCAAATTTACTCTACTGTCTGTGTAAAAATAGTCTTGTGTTCCCCACTCTGGACAAATATTTTAACAGTTGAGGCACATGTTATTGGAGCACATGTTATTTTAATAGAAAATTTAATAATGAAATAATGTGTGCTCCCGAAGGAGAAATCTTTAAATAGATTTTTACTTGGTCAGTTCAACGTACGTGATTGATAATTAATTTACTTTAGACTTATTTCATCCACATTTAAAACCTTACCCATGGAACAAGAATTCAGATTTCTGAATTGTAGTGAACCTATCAAGATTTCTGAATTGTAATGGAGCTATCATGGAAGTGAATTTTTGATTGGTTCAGGTGAGGTTTTGTTTGTCCTTAAGGTGATTTTTGGAGGATTACCTTGGTGCATGTAAAACAGTTCATACACAGCAATGCATTGTTAATGCTATTAAATAATCTAACATCTTGCAGAAGAAAACTTACAGTTCTGAGTCTTTCAGATTCTGAAAAGGGAATTTAAAACTTGGTGTTAATCTGCGGTGATTCCTCTGGAGAATGGACAGGGTAGTAAAGGAAGGGTTTCTTTGAAGCAATATGTTTATACACTTGGGAGAACTTACCACTCTGTAACCTCCTGCTCAAGTTGCCTCATGACCATGTTAAAGTTACAGTGTTGGGCATCTTGTAAAATGTGATTTAGAAAGATTCTAAGAAAAACACTTCTTTTTTTTTAAAATGTTTTAAGGTAAGCAAAGCCAGCTCTCAGAATACAGTGAAGTCAGCATGGCAGGAAGTATAAAATGAGCAATAGTGAGGACAATTCAAAATACGGTTCTGGTATTACAATTGAGGTCAAGCTGCTCCAGGCATAAATTAGGCCTTTTGTTGTGTATTTTTGCTCCATATACTTAGGGCTGTGCACAGAGGTACAGGTATAAAGGCCAAACAAGGGAATATTTTGAAGGATTACTGTCTAATCTGCAAATGGAAGCGAGAGCAGTCCCCTGAGCCTTGCTGTGTTCTGCCCATGTTTACTTGTGGCTGTGCCCAAGAGGGACCAGCCTTGTGCTTATCTTAACACAGAGAGCAAAAATTGCAGTTTCAAGTGATCCCATTAACTTCCCATTCGGAGTGCAGGGGGCCCAGTTTCCCCAGTGCCAGGGCAGCTGCAGAGCAATATCCTCTTGGTCTGTGTGGAAATTACACAGACTTAAAACATCTACAAATCATCTCCCATCTGGGACAGCTAAAAGATGGGAAGCAAGTAGTGAGTGTCTTCCCTCCCACGCAGACGGGGACCTGCAGCTTGGAGTCATGCTGTTTAACTGTAGTTTTTCCTACTCCAGTTCCCTCTGCACTTGGCTTTGCTTTTCCACCCTCTGCAGTGAGGGAGACAGGAATCCTGTAACCAGTAGACTTCAGTAATCCACAACCAAATTTCATCCAGCAGCATTTCCTTCCCATGTACAGTATTTCCATGTGAAACACAGTCATGCCATTAGAGGCTGTGCCATAGAGCACAGTTCAGTGCTTGTCTAAAATTTTGCACCCCTTGGACTGCGTAGTTACCATGGGCATTTTGTCATCTGCATGGGTCATGACGTGCTTTGCCAGTCACATTCAGGGAGTAGAGTGAATAAGGAATCATGGATTCTGTTCCTCTATAAGAGGGAAGGTGGTGCATCTGTAAAGCTGTCACAGTCACACATCGTGAAAGCAAAAAAGTGGATTTTAATTTTGCTGTACAGCACTAGTTAGGGGTTCACAAAGGATTAGCAGTTGCCTTTAGGGTTGAAGTTTATGCTTTTTTAGTTTAGAAGTGCAGGCCAAGTTACAGTCTTGTTATTCAAGTTGTCACCCATCCCCAGAAGTTCTCCAGATTCTTTGAACACAGCACTTAAAAGCTATTGATGGGAAGCAGATGTTGGTACACAGTTGATGAAAATGCAGAATGCTCCAAGGAGTTTCTTTTTCTATTGGAAAAGAAGAAATAAAAAGGGGGGGAAGGCGATAGATGATGTGATAGATGTAGTCCTTTCTGGTTCTAGGAGCTTGGTCCCAAACCTCCAGTGAGTTAGTTAGGAAGATGAGCAGCAAGCTGATGGGTTTGAGTTAGATTTTATTTTAATCTAAATTACTTGTGCATAATTCTTCCCAGCGCTTTTAATTCGTGCAGCTTTGATACAAGGGGAATAAGAAGTGAGAAGAGGTTTTTCAAACAGGAATGATGAAAAGAGATTTTTGGATCCCAAACAGCACGAGATCCTTCCTCCAAGTGCTGAGGAGCGGGCTTGATGCTTTCCTCTTCCCATTGGGCTGTGAGTTCCTGGCAAAGTTCCAACCACCCGTCCTCCAGCTGAGGAAAGAAAAAGCAAATGATGTAGGCTTCCCTGTGGGAGTTTTAGGTCAAAAATTAAGGTCTTTATGATTCCTAGACAGCAATAAGCTTCAGTTTTGAAAATCTCACCCAGGCCTAAGTTCTGAAAGCTCTGGACATCTCTCTGTTCCTTTTGTAATCCTGTGCCACTGTCTCAGTGGTAACTCATGACAGCCATAGCGTGTAACTGATGTGAAATGCAGGATGCAGGTGATGTGTTTTCCTTACTTTGAACTTCCATCAGAATGCATTTGAAACCAGCTCAACTTTGGGCTCATTTAGGATGCTCATGAAAACCTAAAACCCTGTTGTGGGAGCTCAGCCCATGAACAGCCAGGTTTTTGGGGAGCAACCAGGTGATGATGAGAGACCTGCCCTTGATTTGCACACAAGAGTGATCTCACTGCTGAAACCCAAATTAAAGCTTCCTGAATGCTGAGCGGTACAAGACATCATAGAGTTCCACTGCACGAACTGGAATCCCTTCAAGAAAATGAAAATTTGAAAGGTTAAGGGTTATAGATGGCTCTTAAATATATATATATATTTATTATATAAACCCCTCCCTTGTACGTGCACACCCTATATCTTAATTTCTCATATTAACAGACTAGTGTCTAATTAGTAAACAATCTCTTTTCTACCAATTTCTTCTTTTTTTTTATCTACATAAGGTTCTAATATTTTGGTTTGCCTGTATTGTAGTCATGTGTTCTGCTATTTATCACGGACCAGCAACTTCAAGGAAAACAATTTCTGCCATCCAAATGGTTATAGGGTTATTTTGAGGGAAAACAACTGCATCCTGCCACAGCTTAGTTAACATTTCACTTTCCCTTGAGGATTTCCTGTTGGCTGTGGCCCAATGTTAATTATGTTTTTATTTCTATAAAACAAAGCTCTGCCAATGTGTCCATGTTTATTACTCACTGTGATCTTTTTGTTTCTTGCAATTCTAACAGTGTTTAAAAACTTCAGTACTAAAACCTCTCTTTCCTGCCAAAGAAGCCTTTATTGGAGCTCATTCTGTTGCAAAACAACACTCGTGCAGATCTGGGTTGGTTTTAAGGAGCTTTTTCTTGGGAAAGCCTAAAGCACATTATTTTCATAAAGAAGTTATTAAGTTTTCTCCAAGCAGAATTTTTGGAAAATGTTAGGCAGGTTCGGGTTTTGAGGCCATGTAGAGTTTTGCATCCTTCATTGAAAAATGTAACTTCATTCACCTTCAAAGTTTCTAAAACAGAATCATATGGAGTCATAAAAAGGGGGCACAGAGGTAGTAATGTTGGGACAGCAGGTCCTTAAACAGAGAGGAAACAGGTTTCCAACTGACAAGTACTCTGGGATTTATACAGGTTAATTCTTGCAGTGCACGTTGTTTCTCCAGCAGCCTTCACATTTTATTTACTAATTTTCTCCACTTAGTTTGATCTGTTCAGATAGTTTTGAAACCTTTTGGTTGATTTATATTGTTTGCTTTTATGTACTTGCATTACTCTCATTTAGTAAAGGCTGGTTCCTCCATTATTGGTAATCCTGTATTATTTACTGCTCAGTGAATTCAAAAGCACTTAAAATAACTTGGACATTACACATCTGTGACCTTTAATCGATGATGTTGAACTTATAGTAAAAAGCAACAGCAGGAACGGTTCTTTTGAGGTTTTTATTCTATAATGTAGCACACTTTGGCTTTTTAATATATGAATTGTGTTTTAAGAATGATTTCATAAATGAATTAGGTAGAGTTTCCAGTATAGGTTGCATGAACTCAAAGAAATGTCAGTATTCTGCACTGTCTAGTTGGTGCTGTAGAGATGTTTTGTTTCTAATTCATTTACCTGCAGTTAATCTTTTTCAGCTGCCAATATGATTAAATACACGCAGTTGTCTTCCAGTTGCCTCCTGAGTAGTGAGGCAGAAATTCAAATAAAGCATCCCTTAAATAAAATTGGCTTGAAGATACGAGCAGAAGTCTTGAAAATGAGTATTTCAGGTGCAGCACCAAGGAAGCTGTCGTGTTAAGCAGAGTTTCATTTAGATACATCTGTGGATCTGCCAGTTTATTGTCTTTACACACCTTAAAATAACATTGATAGAGCCTTAACCACAGTATTTTGGTTTCAAATGGAAATCACTTTTATGAAACAGTGACATTTTGGGTTGTTTCAGGAGTATGCTTTAAAACACAGGGAATCTTGCTGGTAGGGAAGGAGTTTTTTTAAGCTGTTTGTTCCTGAACATGTTGCTGTGGTTTGTGCCATCTGCACTTTGATCAGTATCTGAGAGAGCTGCAGTGGCTTCAAGAAACAGAACCTAAAATAAATATCTAATATGGGAACACTGGAGCTGTGAACAGATCTGAGCATATCTATTTGAAAGGAATTTTTTTTCCTCTGCTGGCCACTGTTTGAGTTGTCATTGGCAGTGGATGTTGCTCCAGGTTTTGGTAACAGAAATTCTGTGGAAATCAGTGAGTCCTGCAAAGACTTGTTGCTTAGTGAAATGCTATTTCTTGGTTAGTTCAAATTATTTTGAGGTATTCTTAGATATAGTTCTTTTGTGGTGACTTCCTTGCCATTGTCTACGTATTCTAGGTGTCAGTTTGTGGAGAAAATGTTATTCCTGCTCTTTGAAGCCTTCCCAGAGTATTTTTAGAGAGCATTGGGGAGCAAAAAAAAAAGGAATGCTGCCGTGGCAAAATAGGCATTTTGTTCTTCAGTTATAAAATACCTGTCTTAATAATATTCATCTCCAGTTAAAAGAGAAGTTCCTGAATTAGCAACCTAATTACCAGGGGAAGTTTTAAGCAGACTGAATTCTGCAGTACTTGTTGAGATCTGGGTTGTCATGTAATGGGATGCAATTTTTTATAATTGTGGAAAAAAGGTTAATATCAGGTATCTGTATTTTTGTTTTCTTGCCTATTGTGCATCTCTTTTGTATATATTTAGAAAGCACCTTGAACTCCATCTGTGATCCAAGTTCTCTCTGCAGAAAAAGCTCTGGTAATCATAGTTGTAAATTCAATTTACCCTTTTGCTGTGTTGGTCAGGGTTGCTCTGTAGGGCTCAGAAGCTCCATGGCTGTTCCTGCCACATTCAACTTCAGGGCTAAAATCGTGTCATATGGATTTAAGCGCATTACATTCAAGCCAAGCCAGACTAAGGCTGTTTCTGCATAGTAGCTTACGTCTTTCAGTGAGTTAATGCAATACCCTTTAGGAAAACAATGACTTCTACCTGCTGTTCCTCATGCTTTGACTATGGATCCTAATTGCAATCTTGTCTAGTTCCCCTAAAAATTACATTTATTATAATGTAGAGGCTCAGTGTTGAAGGGGTGCATAGGGAGCACAGCCATGAGCCCTAATAACAAACAAATAGCATCTTACTCATAGGGCACCAAAAAAGAGATTTTATCATTTGTAAATAGTTAAAAGGAATCAAAATAGGTTAAAATCTTTCAGTGAATCAAGGCCTGGCTCAGGTTGGGTGTCCTGGCCACTGGCCCTGCTGCCTGTGCTCCCTGAGCCCTGTTTAAGCCGCTCTGAGAAGTCACGTTTGAAGCAGCTGCTCCTCGGGATCAGGTGTGCTGCTCACCTGGCTGCTCCTGGCTGTGGAAAAAACCACTTTCTGCCTTGACCACCTGGTGTTACTTTTCAACTAAGACAAAGACTTTTGGGACCGAATCTAGGGGATTTTTTTTTCAATACACTTACTTGGAACCACTACGTATGCTTACTGATTCATGCCCTTTGCAGAGAAACTGTTTGGTGAAATGTCCACCTTTGAAATGAGTGACAAAAGAAGCCTTTCCTCTTATCAGTGTTCTCCTTTCCCTTGCTCCAGCAGGCTGGGGAGAGATGCCTGCTGTCCACACAAAGACCGAAGCTTCTTGGGGAGAGCCCTCGTCCCCTTCTGCTGCAGTTGATAATGGCACTTCGGCGTGGGGGAAACCCCCCAGCAGTGGGACCGGGTGGGGAGAGAATCCTGCCGAGCCGGCAGGGACATACGGAAGAACAAACGCTCCAGCTGCTGCCCCAGCACTGTGCAAACCAGGTACACCTGTGGGTGTCACCCCCTCAGAGGCTGGGGGAGAAGACGGGAAAGTGGGTTTGTTTCTGCCAGCGGTTTTAAACAGCGCTTCTGGTTTTCTGTGCGTTGAAATCAGAGCTGCGTTAGCTGCCTCTAACTGTGGATACTCAAAGTATCAAATTAATAAAAAAAATATGAATATAGTGCAGCAATCCAGTACATTTAAAGGAGAGTAATTTTGTGTACTTAGAAAGCAGTATGGTAGAGAGGCAGGAACTGCAGAGCTGTAGAAGAACGTGACTAGGTGCCCAAAGAAACCTGTAATTGGGATGAGAAACAGCAGATTTCAGCCAAAGTAGGACTGATTCTGGTAAGAAAAGCAGCACTTGAGAACAGCGAGTCATAATCTCACTCTTGGGTCAGACTTGAGGGAGTGGGTGTTTTCTTCGGCCGTTGCAATTGTTCACGGGTTCAGGAATATCCTAAACAACTTCCTGCTTCATGATTCCTAACTAATGTTATTTGATAAAAATCCTTTATCTCTGAATGCCCTGAAGGCCACATTGATTGCTTTTGGTTTCTGTTTTGGCTGTGGGAGTTGCCTGAAGTTCACTCCTGTAAAATACCATATTGAGAGATAGATAGAAGGCCCGGAAAACATAAAAGGAGAAGCGAGAGGTCTTAAGATGAGTAATCCCAGCTTTAAACAGAGTAAACAGAATAAAATGGACTGAGGGGACACAGTCTCATTGCTGAATAGAATGTGTTCCCTGCAGCCCACGAGCTCTTTTCAGATTCCATTCTTCCGAGATGGGAATGAGTTTCTGACCGTTAATTACCTCGAAATTAGGGTTTGTTCCTTGGAAGAATGTGGCAGCTAAAATGGTGAGATTCGTTGAAAGCAAAATAGCACTTAACAAGTGTGTGGTCATAGTTTGGTTCCCTGTTCCTAAGGAGACCGGAGTGGCCATGACCACAGATCTTGCTTGTTCTGGGGAAAGCAGGACTTGTGGTTGCTGGATTATTTTCTTCTCAAAGTATTTGGAGAAGTTCTCTTTTGCTAACTTCAGAGAAGGTGTCCTTGTCATTTAATGCCAGTTAAACTATTTGATAAACCTTTTATGTCGCTTGGAAATACTCATATTAGCACACTGGATATGGCACAAAAGGATATTTCTGTAAAATTCGCAGGGAACTGAATTAAGATTTTTCTTCTGTTTCTTTCCTTTCAGCTTCAAAATCTATGCAAGAAGGCTGGGGCAGTGGTGGGGATGAAGTGAATCTCAGTACTAGTCAGTGGGAAGATGAAGAAGGAGATATGTGGAATAATACTGCTTCACAAGAGAGCAGCTCCTCCTGTAATTCCTGGGGGAATGCCCCGAAGAAAGGACTTCAAAAGGTAAAACAAAAATAAAGACACTCTCTAGGAAGAGTGGAATTAATGTTAACATTTGTAGAATAAGTTGTCACAAATTTGCTGTTGCATTACACCTGAAATTAGATCTCTGACACCTGAACCCAAGCACAGCTTGCCACTACAGTGGTTCAAGTACAGCCTACCTTGTTTGCAGGGGAAAATGGGAGATCTTTAAATTTAGGCATGTCAGATGCTTCGGGAGTTTTGTTGGTTTTGCCTTTGTTTTTTTTAAAGTTTTATAAGCTTCCATGTACTCTAAAATGAAAATGTATTAACAGAAAGAAAAAAAGGTGTTAAGGGGGCTTTCAGACACTTCCCATGATGGTGGGAAAGCAGTAGTCTGTGATGGATTTGTTTAACAAAACTAGCTGTTTTCTGTTTGTGACGAACCAACAGATAACTGTGCGGGGTGTGTGTGAGAACAAAGCGAACTTGTATTAATGCTGCACTCAGCCGAGAACGTAGAAAATTGTGTGAGGAAGTTTCCCATTGCACAATCTTTATTTCAGGACAAGGCCAGGCTGTAACTTAAAGGAATTGGGAATGCATTTAGCCACTTTGTTTGTTGTTCCATTAGCCAACAGTTAGGCCGGTGATTTGATCAAGTATGGTTGTTTCTTGTACTGTCCGCAGCCCAAAACAAATCCGCGCTTGTCCCTTGGTACTTTCTGGAGAACTGAAAGGAAGAGACTTCTTAAGGATTTTGTGATAGAAAAGCTGCACAGAGATCTTTTAAAGGTGTTTATCTAGACGCTCTTGTTTGTTTTTAAGAAAATACACTGAGTAACATTCTTAACTTCAAGGTCGCAAACTTGTTTTTGGGAATGTTTTTCAGGAAGTGTTGTACTATTTTGGCTTTACTTCATTACGTTTTTCTGCCAAGGATTAAAATGAAATACGTAAATTCAAAGGTGGCTTTAATTCAGTGGTCGGCAAATCAAATACTAAATAGTACACTGAACACCTATTCAGCTGAGATAAAATTGGTTACACTTTTGGGGGAAGAGAATCGTAGTCGCGTTGCTCGGAGGGTTCTTCAATACTTTCTGAATTAATGTACTAATACATCTTTCAGTAGCATGTGTTATTAATAAAAAACACTTACCATTTCTTTTATGTACATCTCACTGGTGAGTAAGTGTGGAAACCAGCCCATTAATGCAGTCTCCCATTTATTTACTAAGGGCATGAAGACATCTAGCAAGCAGGATGAGGCCTGGATCATGAACCGTCTGATAAAACAGCTCACAGACATGGGCTTCCCTGTGAGTAGTGCTCACACAGACACCTCTGGCTTAGCCTTGGTAGCTTATAGTTCTGACTTGATTTGTTTCAGACTGTAGCTACAAAAAGATCTTCAGTCTCTTCTTCAGGTCAGGAATTGGCTCTGTTGCCTGCATTTAGCCTGTAATTTCAGAAATCTGCTGTAAACTAGTAGAGTGCTCTGAAATCAACTGGAGGATACATTTTGCGTGATGGCATTTATAATATTTTGATTTTCAGAGTTTTGTGACAACAGATATTGCTTTGAACTGTAGTAATAATGTCACTCCTTTTCCCTTTTTGTTATTGAACAGGTAAAATGAGATTATAGCTGGATTTTCTTTTTTTTAATAGAAAAATCATTGTGATACTTAAGTTGTCCATAGGAAACAGGAAGATGTTTAAACAGAGCAGTGTGGTTTGACCTTGCAGAGCTGGTACTCAGCAAACTGAAACAAGTGAATTGTGGGAATTGCCCAAAGGAGAAACAAAAATACACACAGACATTATTTAGGCTGCAGAGTAAATATTAAATCCCGTATTTAAGAGATTCATCTGTTTTCTCAGGTTGCTTTGAAATCATATGAGTGTGGTTACCTTTTTTCTCAACATAATTCATATTTTTTGACAGAGAGAGCCAGCGGAAGAGGCCTTGAAGAGCAACAGTATGAATCTCGATCAGGCCATGAGTAAGTATCTGTGTAAGTAATTTTTTTTTTGTCTTTAAAGCAACAGAGGAACCCTTCATGATTCTGAGAGTTTTATTATATCCAGATCACTTGGGTAATATTTATTTTCTTGCTTTTACTTTTGCAAGCAAGATGCATTTCTCAGAACTGCTGTTGGCAACTTTACTGTCTCTGTGTTGTCACCGTTTCCAATATGATTTCCTTTTCTGTGCAGGTGCTCTGCTGGAAAAGAAGGTGGAAATGGACAAGCGTGGAATGGGAGTGACCGACTATAATGGAATGGTCACCAAACCCCTTGGCTGCCGCCCACCACCAATCTCCAAAGAGTCTTCCATGGACCGCCCCACCTTCCTTGACAAGGTGAGCTCAGAAATAGGGATGTACACAAGTTCAGATGATTTCCACTATCTGTTTAGAAAGCATAGAGAGAAGTGTGATGGCTTTATCCCTTGTCTGGTCTATTTTTAATCTTGTTGGGAATCCAGTCCTTGTGCGAAGGACCAGTGATTTGATTCCCACATAGAAATAAACAATGCTCGTCACCAGTTTTACACTTGAAAACTCATCAAGGAATCAGTAATACAATGAAACTAGAAGTGGAAAAAACAAAGAAATGAAGCCCAGAAATCCTTTCATTCTGTGAGGGTCCAGGCAGTCAGTGACCCTTGCCCACATTAACAACCTGGCAGGACCAAGGCCAAAATCTTCAAGAGTTAGGCTTCTAGTTCCTCTTTCAGTTTTGAGCTTCTTACAGATTTCAGTGAAAGTTCAGTACCTAAATAGGAAAGAGAAGCTGAGGTATTTTTGTTAAGTCTCAGAGCAGACGTGCACAGTCATAAATAGCTTCTCCAATGAGCTTCCCTTTCTGTGGTCCCATATGACAAATTTCACAGCACCATTTAATGGCTGAAGAGAAGGCTCTACAAGTTTGTAGTGTCCAAAATTCAAAGTGACTAAAGAAAAGAATATGGGGAAAAGTGCTGCCAGATGTTCAGTAGGAAATGAGATTTGCAACCTGACACAAAGTCCCACCAGATCACCTCAGAATCCCCCCGAAAATTATTGATAAGGAAAGAACAATCTCACATGCCTGGTCTGTATTTCACAGGTTATCTAAAGGTTCATACAGTTGGGTGGTGGTAGATTCTGAACACAGAAATTGGTGCTTTTCACGAACTGTGCTGAAACCAATTCATTTCACCTAAGCTGTGTACAGGACGTGAGGCAGTAATGATACCTGGTCATGTAAAGTTCATTCTTAGCTATGGCAAACTTTAATGAATATGTTAATTGAAGGCTACAAGATTGATGCATGCATGCCAGTTAACCTTCCCTTTTCTTGGATAACAACATCTTCTGCAGTAAAATTATTGCCAGAGAGAGAGGTGCATTATGTGCAGCATGATGCATAATTATGGAAACATATGTTAAACACAACTATTGAGAAGAGAGTACTAAAATCATTAATATTCATACAGAAAGTAAAATCTATCAGTCTAGGCATAATCTGTCACAGTGACTTTACTGTAACAAAAGGAAATAATCCCACACTGTATTTGTTAGCTATCACAGTGTTGAGCAACTTGTTAAGTGAATTAAATAAATATAGTTCCTTCTTGAAGAACAGATTTTTTTTTCCCCAAAGAAATTCTTTCCAGTTTTACAGCTCATGGTAATAGAGCAATTCCTCTTCCCCAAAGGCTTTCTACCCTTTGTGGTACTATTCCAGAGCATGAGTCTGGAGCTGTCGCCTTTCCTGCTCAGGTCATCCTTGTGAGGAACAAAGCTCTCAGCACAGCTGGACAGAGCACTCCAGCCAACATTCCCTGTTTTACTTACTGCCTTAGCAAGTCATTATCCTTTTATTGGCTCTGCTGAGTCTTCAGTGAGTTCTGCAGGGTTCCTCTTCATGAGATTTTTAGGTTGGGTTTGTGTGCTCATTGCTACCACTCTCTCACTGATTCTCTCATCTCACCTGCATTGAGACTCCATCATTTTTCTCCTGCATTTTCTCTGACAGGTAAAGCCAGTACTTACTTTTTTTTAACCTTATGCATTTGAGGAGGGAAAATTTCCAGCCCTGACATTCGCTTCTGGACCCTCTGAACTCCCTCTTCTCTCTGAATCAGTAGTGGTCTGTGCAGTTCAACATCACCTTTGAATGTTTGCTTTCTCTTGTTCCTCAGTGCTTGCTGCAGGTGCTCTTTATTCCATGTCACACTGAGTCAATCTTTGGCACTCGATGATTTGTTAATTGTTTTTATTTCTCAGGATGTTATCCTGACCTGTAGGACCATTACATGAGAAAGGAGAAAATCCAGTGGCTTGGAGGAAATAAAGATGCAGCCCTGATGCGTGATCTCAACCACATTATCTTATACTTTGCCCTGATGCTGCTTCCAAACTTTCTCCCAAATTCTTGAGCACCCAGGAGACTCTGAAATTCTCACCTTACAAATGAAGTCTCCTTTTCTCTACTGTCCTATTCATTGATCAGCTCTTCCTTTCTACTACTGAGAGATCCAGGTCTACAAGCCTTGATGCCTCTTAACTGCAAAAGTCTTATGACTAGACTTTTTTCTTGTCTCTAATTGAAACCTCATAATTGTGGGTTTTTTTCATCCTCATCCTTCACATTCTGATCCCAGTAATCTCTGGTGACTGTGATTGTTTTTTGTCACTGGGACAATAAACAGGATATTTTATTATTATGCAGAAACATTTTTTGAAGTCCTGGCAATTAGATAATAATTGCCAGAATTTTAAGCTTGACTTAAGATTCTTCTTTCCTTCATCTCTGCTTCCTATGATTTGATGACTGTTCCTTTTTTGAACTTCCAGACTTTGAAACCACTTTCGTCTTCCTGTGTATAATGAGTATTTCTTTGAGTATTGCATTTCCTCCAAGTTTCTTTTGGCTATACCTAACTCCTGTCTGATTTGAAGGGAACTTAAATGAGATGAGGTTTTATTACTTCCTCTTTTAGAAAAGAGTGGTTTTTTAAACCTTTTTTTTAAGAGAACAGTGTGTATTTTCTACCAACTACTTCTGTTACTGACTTTGTACAAAGACCTCTGACAAAATTCATGAGCCTCCCTCTCTGTTGGGGCATTTTGATTCATGAAGGGGCAGTTGTTAGCAGGTGACTGTCAAAGTGTCCAGGAATCCTCTACTAAATAGTCCATATCTCACAGGGCTAAAAAGACTTTAGAGTAGCACCACTTGCATTGTGTCACATTTGGTGCTTGGGAGTACTGTGAGAGACTTTCCAAAGTCCTAAAAAGCACCAATGTGGTGTTTTGTGTTGGATTACTGTAGTAGCAAACACTGCTACTGCAGGTGTGTCAGGTCCCTTCAAAAAAGTTAAAAGCAGTGCTGGATTGAGCATAATGTGATGATTCAAATGTTTAGGATTTGTTTAATTGATTAGCCCGAGGGAGAACTGTAACATAAATTTGTAAGTAAATCACTGAAGAGGAGAAGTTAGGTAGAAAAGATTGCTCTTCAGGAAACAATATTATGTAAAGGAACCTGAAAAATAATGGATTACAAACCACTGTGAGCAGTAAAGATGTCCCCTGGTCTGGGTTGGGAATGGTTTTAAGTGGACCAACTAAAATACTTTGTGTTAAATGAATTGATTTCAGTTCAGTTACAGAGCACAGATTTGTGCAGCAGTTTAAATTAAATAAAACAGAAACAAGTGAATGTGAACAAAATGTCATAAACTTGCACAAAAGCCATTTGCTGCAAAAGGAACACCCTTGTGAAGGAGTCTGCCTGCCCTAGAAATTAAATGCCTGAGTCTCCAGTGTGGCTTGTCCTCCACCATCCTTGGCACTGCCTATTTCAAAATTGAGAAAAAATAATGTCAGTGAGACGAGACTTGAATAAATTTGGGGGGCAGGGAGGGATTGCACTGAGTCTTTCATGGTCAGTAGGTCTGTTCACATAGGAAACAATGGCATCTGAAGGAGAGAGCACACACCAAGCTTGAAATTATTTTCACTTTAAAGGGGGAAGGGTAGAATTGTAAACATATGTCTGTGATCTGAAGAAAAATCCTTGAACCTGTTACTGTCATGCAAGCTGCAGTTGTTTGTGGAGTGTGACTGATGTCCAGTAGAATGTAAAATATCTCCAGCTGAAAGGCCTTGGGGATATCATTAGAAAATGTCAGTGTCCCCCTCAGGATAGTCAGATAGCATGTCAAGTGTCACTTTGCCTCATAGTAAAGAAACTTTTCCTTTGCATCAAAGGAGAGCTGTTGAAAATGCATTTTTCAGCATTAACTTAGAACATAAAATTCACTGAGCATGCTTGCTGCATTAGAACATTTATTTGGGTATCTGGTTCGCAGAAGGGGCTGCTTTTTGAACAAAGAAGGTTTATCAATATCTCACAATCTTCTGGGGCATTGAATTTATAGGTTGAAATAGCCGGGTTCCTCACCTGTTCAAAAAAACCTTTCCTTGGAATGAACATATTGCCTGAAAAACCCCAGTCCAGCACATTGCAAATTAGAGATTTTTCACTCTGCCTGTTTTTTCGGAGCCCTACTTTGTACACAGTGTTATTTGATCATGCTTGCCGCAGGCTCCCCAGACATCAAAGCACAGTTTGAGATAGAACTCGGTGCCCCACTGTAATACGAGCGAGATATCTACCTGTTTGATTGGGGATTCTGTAATTTATTTTATTTTCTGCCTTGCTGTTTGCCCCCCGTGGGGGCTGCCTCCTGTGCATCACAGCCACGCTCAGCCGTGGTTCCTTGCAGCCCAGTTATCAGAGGGGGCTCCTCCTGCCTTGCTAAAATCTGCCTCCTCCTGGGGATGTTCAGGAAGGCTGCACAGACGATATTGTCATTACTGGGTTTAAGTGGTTTGTGTTCACTGGGCACAGTGTAATGTTTCATAGTGGGTATTAATAACTCAGCGCTATGTGAATATTAAAAGAGGCTCATGTGTCTCAGTTAGGAAAGGGGATTAGTGCAAAAATGCTTTTTTAAGAGCAGAGCTATGATGTGGAACCAAATCCAGACTGGTGTCAAATAAGCTGATGTGGCCTTTCCCAAGTTTTGGGTTAGCTAAAGCGGTGTGTCTGATGTCTGCGCTCCGCTGCTGAGAGTTTTCCAGACAGACAGAGGACTTCCCTGAAATGTGCTGGCTCCCTTCCCTTTGCACCTTTCAATCTGGTGGAGAAAAGAGGAGATAATCCGAGTGGGGAGGAGGCAATGGCCACATGATAGCTCTGCAGTTGGCTGCTAGAATCCCTCCTTTCCTCTGGAGAGGTGGGTGAGGGTGACTGTGCATTTGGGGATTAAGAGCAACAAAGTTCAGAAAAACAGTACCTTAATGCTGTTTCTCTCTTTCTTCTCCCTTCACTCCATGCTTCTCATTCCCTGTTACTCATACCTTTTTTTTATATATATATTTTTATTCATCCATGCCTTTTTCTGTCTCCATGGGACACTGTTTTGTGCGCTGTCGGCTCCTGGCACCGCACACAGCTCACCCTTTCTTTCTCCAATCAGGATGGCGGCCTAGTGGAAGAGCCCACTACTTCACCATTTTTGCCTTCACCAAGCCTGAAGCTCCCCCTTTCAAACAGTGCACTCCCTAATCAGACCCTGGGCGGGATTGCCTCAGGGCTGGGCATGCAAAACTTGAATTCTTCTAGACAGGTAAGGCTGTCAGGGGAGATCCAAGGTGAATTTCAGCTCTCTTGGATTAGCTGCTAGAGCCCACCCGTCACTTCCCCAGGGAAAAGGGGTTTAAACTGAAAGTGCAACATCTTTGTTCACGTGAAATATCGGTGGGGAGACTACCTGCTGTGTGAATGTTTCACCTTATAGGACATAAAACAACTGCTTAGTTGTAATTAGCCTGTTAATGACACACATCCATTAAGAAGAGACTGTAGTGTTGTGGATTTATATCCCTGACCCCTGGTGTGGCTCTGCTTTGACTGATGGAAATCTCTTTTTTTGAGGCATTGCACATTGTCACACTCTGAGGCAGAGACGTTGCTCTGGTTTGTTTTTCCTGGCTGGCTTAATTATTCAGTGATGGGATAGGGAAGAAGCAAGGGGGGCTTTTTTATTCCTGCTTTAAGTGTCAAGGCAGCTCATAGTTGTGACAGGTGGCAAGAAAGAAGCTGGACTTCCAGCACCCAGATCAGAGGGAGCATTGAGGCAAGGGGGTTGTTTTGGCCCCTAGGTAGAACGTGCTGAAAGGGAAAGAAAAGGAAAGGAGATGGGGTAGAAGATTGATAAATACCGTAAGACTGAGAGGCTGTATAGGCTGTTGATTATGAAAAGGTTATTTTTGCCATCAAATTGAAGTTCTAGCAAAAATAAAGACAACACAGAAAAGCGCTATCTATCATTCTAGGGTGGCTCTTATTATGCATAGTCTTTTAAAGTTAGTTTTTTAAAGACAATGCTTGTCCAGCACTTCCAGCCCATTAAGCACATCTTTCTGAAAAAGAGCCTGCACTAATAGCATGTCCATTTTCAGGAGCTTTGTAAAATGATCAAGTACAAAAACTGCTTACCTAACTTGAGGATGGGGGTGCTGTGAGTTTAATGCCTCCATCCTCCCTTGCTGCACAAATACAAACATTTTGGGCAGGTACTTTTCACTGTTCATCTCTTGACCCTCCAGGGCTATGCATCTTTATAAAAGCCATGTTCAACTTCAGCTGCCTTTTGTTCAGGCATCTGTACAAAGTTTTGGGGGTTTGGGACGTTGGGTCTGTGGCAGTCCTTGCCATGCCCGATTCTAAACCTGGTTGTCAGCACGGTCTGTGTGTGCTGCCTTCTTTATTCATGCCTGTCATAATCACTGAGAATATAGAGACTGCACAGACAAGTAACATCCAGGTTATGTGTTGAGTGATGTCTTTACATGCCAGTGCCATTCTTGTCCTGCTGCAGATACCGAGTGGCAATCTGGGTATGTTTGGCAATAGCGGAGCAGCACAAGCCAGGACCATGCAACAGCCGCAGCAACCGCCAGTGCAACCTCTTAATTCATCCCAGCCTAGTCTTCGTGCTCAAGTGCCTCAGTTTCTATCCCCTCAGGTTAGATTTCCACTCATAAGTTTTGCCTTTCCCTAGAAGTCTTCCATACTCTCCTCTCCTGAGGTTTGCAGCCACTGCTGCCTGGCTGTGTCCCTGTTATCTATTTACATGTTGCATGGCTGAGATGGTCTCACATTATGTACATTACTTGTGAGGGCACATTGTTGAGTTCCTTTTTGCAAACAGTGGTGTTTCTGAGCAGTTTGTTCTCATCTCTTTTTTTCTACAAGTGAACTTCTGAGTATGGTTATTTATTACGAAAACCTTGCTAATTTTTGGATAGTTCACAGTACCACTTCGGGTAACAGTAATATTTTCCAGCTGAAGTTTTGTGACTCTTATGAATGGCTCACTCAGTTGTCACTGTTAAAAGCGAACATACAATGTTTAATACACTGCTCTTCCTTAGGTTCAAGCACAGCTTTTGCAGTTTGCAGCAAAAAACATTGGTCTCAGCCCTGCACAGTTAACCTCGCCAATTAATAATCCTCAGCATATGACGATGTTGAACCAGCTCTATCAGCTGCAGCTGGTAAGTTAAAAGACATGGCAGATAAGCTCTAAATCAGAATTGAAGGCATGAAGATAAAATGGAGAACTGCTATCTAAATTTTTAAATGACGTGACAGATCTTCAAAGCAATCAGATCCTGATTTCTTTGGTAGAGTTTCTTTTTAAAGAAACAAAATCGTATTTTTTGCCTCAGGCTTTATAAACAGTCATTTGTGGAATAATTATCCTTTACAGCTGATCAGTGGAACTAAAGTCAGTTGTCTTCCTACTACTATGAGTAACATAGTGTATTCTAAAACAGCACTGATGTGTGTGCTACATGTCAATACTCACAGCTGACTGACCAGCTGGGAGGTGGGTCCCAGCATAACCAGAGAACTCTTGGCAGTGCTGGTCACCTGAGTTACCTGCAGAGCAATTTCTTCATTTACTTCTTTAAAAAATAAAGCATAGGGTAAATTTCCTTTAATTAATGGCATGTATGTTAAAAATACCATGTGATAAGAACTACTTATTCTTTGCAAACGTGTACTTTTGCTGTTGTGTGCAAATTTTGTATATATATGTGTGTGTGTGTGCATATGAAAATACTGAATTGGATTTTAAGATTATTTTAGAAAGAGATACTGCAAAGTCAATATTTGCCAGGGTTAAACATAAAATTGAGGATGACAAACTAGCTGAGTTGCTGCTCTCAATGTGCTAGAGAAACTCCTTTGTTAGTAACAGTGTTTGATATTATTACTCATTTCTGGTTATGTTTTGAGGAGCATAGCATTATTGTTATAATAATTTAACAGTACCCAGCTACTTGAAGAATACCTGTACGAAATTCCCTTGGATTTTGAATTCGTGTGTTTCAGAGAAACACCTTGCAAATCAATTTGCTGCCAAGCTAACCATTTTAAAATTGTGAATTTTTTCAGAAATAACAAAGCAGCAAAAGCGATTTAACTACAGTGTTGTCAGAACTCAAAAAAAAAACCAAAAATGAACACTGGACTTAAATAAATACATTATAAAATACATTTGTGACATATATTTTATACTTTAGCTTCATTGACTGTTTTCAGAGAACTCCAGTGTTTGTCTTTTCCATTTCATGATGCACCAGAGCAGCTCAAGAAAGCATGTTCAGCCTGTTGTGTGTGTTGGGGCTCTGACCTCTCCCTTGTCTCTCCAGGCGTACCAACGTTTACAAATCCAGCAGCAGATGTTACAGGCTCAGCGTAATGTTTCCGGACCCATGAGACAACAGGAGCAGCAAGTATGTTTGCCTGCCAGCCCAATCTCTGCATTAGTTTGGTTTCAGTAGCTTAAAGAGACTGAATGACATTATACCAGAGCAGCTAAAGCATCCTTAAAACAGGAATGCAGTGCGTGACAGCAAAGGGTGCTGAGTGTTAAAGCTGCCTCACAGCATTACTGGAGGAAAGCTCTTCACCCCTTAATACAGTCAATTTTTATTTGTAAAGAGATCTATTGTGTTATTTCACTGCAGAGAAAGAAATGTGGTGTCTTTTTGTTCCACTGAGCATTTATTGATTCTCTCTCCCGCAGGTTGCACGTACAATCAATAACATGCAGCAGCAGATCCAGCAGCACCAGCGCCAGCTGGCCCAGGCCCTGCTTATGAAGCAGCAGCCTCCCCCTCCACATCTATCTTTGCACCCCTCTGCAGGCAAATCAGCCATGGATAGCTTTTCACCCCATCCCCAGGCTCCCGGCCTACCTGACCTGCAGACCAAAGAGCAACAGTCTTCACCGAACACCTTTGCTCCTTACCCTCTTGGTGAGTGTCCACATGGAAAACACACAGGGAGCCCATTTCCTTAACGCAGCATCTTAAGTGTTTTGTTCCAGAGTACATCAAATATAAATATATAAATATATGTTTATTAAATAACATTGAAATGCCAAAACAAAATCGTGGCACTTCATACCTGTGTTTGAGGTTTGTGGTAGCTGTATTTGCTCACCTGTGTTCTGCCTACAAATAACCAGAACAGAAAATTTGCCTAATTAACTATTTATTTACGTTGCTGTTTATGAGCTAAGTGTAAATTAACAGCATCGTGTCGTAAAATGCACAAATGTCATATTGATAAACAGGAATATCATCTGGGAAAGTCCTGCAAAATCATCTTTCCACTGTAATCAGCACTGGTAAGGCTGATTTTGGTCAGTGTATTTTGAGAAATAAATGGATCAGAGTGTAGGGGAGGTGATTAGATGTTTCAGAAACACAACTGCTAAGGAAAAAATTAATTCCTCTGCTCACTATAGTCTAAAGAGGATTTAAGAGTCATGCAAGAATCTTCAAAAATGTAAAAGAGAGCTATGAACAAGTTTTTTTGCATGTGGCTAATGCAAGAGGTAATAAACTTGTGATGCCTAAAAGGAGAAGTAGCTAAACATTAAGGATCACTTAGAGTTGCTTTAAGCAAAGTAGAGTATTGGAATGAATTATCTGGGAAGTTCCTGAAATCTTCTTCAGCAGCCATTCTGTGGTAGATTAGACATAGATCTGTCAAATATGATTGATGTCAAAATAGTCAATTGGGCCTGGAGACAGGCAGAACAGAGCAACCTTTCAGACCTGTTTGCTGTGTGATTCTTTGATGTATGCTACAGACTTCCTTTATGACATAAAGGAATTAATTTAATCTCTTTGTGACTCTCTTTATGCTGGGTACAATAGAATTGCCAAGCTTTATCTGCCATGCAGCAGTTAAGAAGGTAATTCTGACTGCTGTGGTGAGCTGTTGTGGCAGGGAGCATCAGAAGGCAAAAGAATTTGTGAATTAAAGGCCTAAGTCTAAGAGGTTCTTAAGATTTCTCAGCTTCCTGTGATCTGCTAACATTCAGGATTATATATCAAAAAAGACCCAGATTCGTGTCACAGGAGCATGTCAAAATTATTCCCTAAATAACAGTCTGAGTGAGTCTGTTCTGTGTATACAAAATACAAGCCCAACTAGTAAAATACCTGCTCTGATGAACAGCCGCAGTTTGGCCTTTGATTGCTTGCTTTGTTTGGGATTTTTAAAATGTTGTTAGCAAAACGAAGTGGCAGACATCATGGGGGTGTGCTGGGGAGACACTGGGAATATTTTGGCTCAGCCATGGAATGTTGCAAACTCTTCACTGGTTTAAACACAACACTCCAGTGCATTCTTCCAGAATGCCTTTCCTGAGACAAGTGAGGAGACTGTAAGTAGAAACACTTGACAGCTTTAATATATTATTCCTACATCTTTTTTCCCCCCCATTTTAGCAGAGTTTTAATCTTTTCTGAATTCATGGGAGATCTTTTGGTGTTCCTATAAAATCAAAAGTTCTTGACAGCAGGTCGAAAAGGTGCATTGTAAGTGACACACATACACACATGGGTGTTCAGTAATTCCTGTAGCTGGGTTTTTAAACACATCTTTTAATTATATGATGGATATCTAATGACCTGTTTCTCCTCAGCTGGACTGAACCCGAACATGAATGTAAATAACATGGACATTACTGGTGGTTTGTCAGTGAAGGACACTTCTCAGTCCCAGTCTCGCCTTCCTCAGTGGACACACCCCAACTCTATGGATAATCTGTCTAGTGCTGCTTCTTCTCTTGACCAGAACTCCAGCAAGCACGGTATGTCCCCTGTGTTAGTCTGGTTTTTTGAGATTTGAGCCACAGTGTTAGCATTTTTCTCATGTTACTTTCTCGTGTAAGTGCTCCTGAATGGTTGATACCAAATACCTTTTGAGCCCGTGAGATTTTACAGATGATTTCTGCGGTCATGTTCAGCAGTGCAGCTCTCACTTCCTACATGCAATGTAGAAATGTTTTTTCACTTGTTGAATTTTGTTGCTGAGAACATGGAGTTCAAATAAAACAAACCTTTAGTGTTGGCAAAACAAGTCCCACAACCTTCCCCTTATTGCAGATCTTCAATCCTAAAAAACTTGACATCTTTCTCCCACTTTTTCCAGTATCATCAACTTTTCCCAGCCAGTACTGTACAATGGCATGATGGATTATATAGTTACCCACCCTGGATTTAGGAGCACAGACTTCTTATTTTTCCAGAAGTGATTGCTAATCTGTTTGCACACCTTTATCCCTAACACCTCCAGTATCCTGAGTCAGTTATTCCTTTATTTCCTGTACCAAGTTTAGTCTATTGGAACATGGGACTCTGTTAACTTTAATATATCCTGGATTTTGTTATGAACAGCATGAATTATTCCTTCTATGACAAGTTTTTTATTGTGAAAGTAGCTGCACTGCTTATGCCAAATTGTTTTTTGATAGTTTGTAGGAACATGAGAACAGTTTTAAATCATCCATCCCATCATCAATAAATGCCTTGGGAAGGATGAGATAAGGGGTTGCCTACAGTGATACTCCTCAATATGCTGCCTCAGCAGATTCCTATTTACCATCAGTGTAATGATTTGAATTAGTTAACTCTCATTTTGGCAGGAATTTAATGCAAATTTCTTCAACTTGAGTCTAGATTGTACCAGCAGCTCATCTCACAGCTGTAGTCCCTAGTAAGGCTCCAGAGGCTCTTAAGCCTGGCTTACTGTGTTTGTACTTTAGTTTTCTTTTTATCTTTGTAATACCAAAAGAAACAAAAAAAGAGAGTAACAACAAAATATAGAGACTGATGAAATTCCACACCCCAAATTAGTCCTGCTCCTAAACAAAGCCTTTCCATCTCATTCCTTACAGGTGCTATACCTGGAGGTTTAAGTATTGGTCCTCCAGGAAAGTCCTCCATTGATGACTCCTATGGCCGGTATGACCTGATTCAGAACAGTGAGTCTCCTGCCAGCCCACCCGTAGCTGTTCCTCACAGCTGGTCACGTGCCAAATCCGATAGTGATAAGATTTCCAATGGCTCCAGCATAAACTGGCCACCAGGTAACAAAACACAAAGCCTTGGTGTTCAGCTGATGTCCTTAAAATGTGCTGTTGGGTTGATTTATTGAATCCTTCTTGATGCACGGGGACTTGGGAGGATTATGACCTTATGTGCTTTCCTTTTCTGTTGTATTTGGAACAGAGTTTCATCCAGGAGTGCCATGGAAAGGACTGCAGAATATTGATCCTGAAAATGACCCCGATGTCACTCCTGGAAGTGTTCCAACTGGGCCTACCATAAACACCACGATACAAGATGTTAATCGCTATCTCCTCAAGAGTGGAGGTAAAACACACAAGTTACTTTCACATCTGTGCATTCTTTCTTCTTCTCTAGAAAAAAGTTGACCTCATTTGTTACAGACACAGCATATTTTTGCATGTACTCCTGATCTGATAAAGCTTCTGCTCAGAACTTTCACTGAATATCCAGAAAGACTTGTTTTAAATATGGGATTAAGAAGTTTCTTGTTTTCCATGGGAATGTGAATATTTTTCTATTGGAAAAGGCTGTGAGATGTAATTTAAACATCTGTGGTCGCTGGAAGTTTTTCCTAACTTGTAACACTTGATTTTGAATGAGATTTTGCTCTCCACACTGCCCATCCTCCTACTTACACTGTGAAATGCTAAGAAGACACAATACAAAAGTTCCACAGTTGTTGCTGAGGCAGCAGGCTTCTGGCACACTAATTAATTGTAGCTTTGTTAGAAGATCAATCAGCAAAATAAATTAGAACTGTTTTATCCCCAAAACCATAAAAGAAAAGAAAAAAATTAGGGGAATTGACAAGTAAACTACTGTTTCGCAGTGCCATTTCCATTCCTTTTGTCTTGGCAGTCCTTCCTTCAGCACAAGAAGAGAATTCTATAATGCAGTCAAGCATTGGGACTGTGCTACTTGTTAGCTAGATGTACTGGAAGTGGATCAAAAGGAAAGGTGGCTTGGTTTAATTGTGATCAGGGTGCTGAAATAGCCAAGTCATCTGCACTCTATTAGAGCCCTGTAATAGGCACAGAAATAGCACAATCAGGTTGTCCAGAAGGATCTGTCGGGATTAAAAATGTGGATTTTATTCTAATAGTTACATCTGTGGTATCAGCACAGATTGTAAATCAGAACTATCCTCGAAATGAGTGTCCAGCTCTGGGCTTGTTAATTCAGTGAGGGATGTGAAATGTGAGGGAAAGGAGGCAGGGGTTTCATTGCCTCCAGCCATTTGAGTTGTCTCTTGCCAGGAAGCAGTCTTTTTATTTATGCTGAAAGATAGAGTATTTGTGTGCATGAATAATGCTGAATTAACTTTCAGTGACCCAAATGTGTTCAAGGGGCAGGCAAGTTTGAGGTTATAACAAGTATGAAGATGTAATTCAGTGACAGCTCAAATACGGTGCACTCAAGAAATACTCTCCTCAGGCCAAAAGCCTAAACCTTCAGAGCTGTACCTGTGAGTCAGATGATACCTAATACAGGTCTTCCTGCTTTAGAGAAGGAACATTGGTGCTGTTGGTGTATAATCTGCCAGTGGAATGAAGAAATAATTTGCTTCTTGGAGAGGGTCAGCAGAGATGGTCTTTGCAGAAGTAAAGAGGCCCTAAGGAACTCAAGCCTTCTGAAGAGCAGGGACTGTTGGGCTCCATGTGTGCTTCGTCTCCTCATTAGCCTTTTAGTTTGCTAATACAGTTTTAAGAAAAATATAGTTTAGAATCTGTTTCTGTATGCTCATATAATATAGGGGTTTGCTCCTAGGTAAAACTGCTTGTTGCTGTCAGTACCCATCCATATGAGACTGTAGCTTCCATGGGAAGAGGCTGTCTTTGAACACTGCAAGCCTAGAGCACACAGCTTGTATTGACAGAGCTGATCCCTATACAGAGGGCTAGGCTGTGGTGTGCCCTTGGAAACAGGCAAAACCCATTTTTGGGTTGGTTTTTGCTTTGCCCTGTTTGCTATTGAAGCTTTGCAGGGTCAGCTGCTATGAGCTGAGAGACATAGCCCCAGGGAATCAGGACCAGTGTCAGTTCTGTAGGCTATTGAATCTGCTATAATTCCATCACTCCTGCCTGGGGAGTAGATTATCTTCAGAGAAGGCCTGATACAGAGTTATTTTGCTTGAAACTTGATGTCTGTATTGGTGTCCTGTGGAGTGCAGGGAGTCTGGTTAAGGTAAAGTTTGGTTGGTTGCTGTTCCAGTTGAACAGATAGCCTTTGTTTTTTATTGAGCTGTGAAGGATGAGTTTGTCCTTTTACTTCCTCCCTCCTCCCTCAGTACAGTGCTCTTTTCTAAAGAACTCACCTATTTTTATTAGTCAGTTTAAGATGTTTCAGTATCACAGTCCATCTATGTGTGACAGGAATGATAAGTCACCCGGGATACACACTTGATTTTGTTGGTGGATGGAGAGAATACTTCCAGCTCTTCTGGTCTTTGTAATGAAGATTTTTTTTATTTTATGTTCAGTTTCTTTCAATTGCTGCCAGCAAGGAAATGTATTCTTAGATAGCTCCTCAGATTGTAAATGATTTACTGAGGTGGTTTCAGGCTATTTCATTTATGTTATCAGTTGAAGAAGAGATTGCTAAAATATATCCTTACTTTACTGAAAGTCTGCAAAAATTTAAAGATGTTTGTGGGCATTATGATGTAGGGGAAGTAGTTACCTTGAGTAATTTAGGACAGATCACCCATGGTAAGAGGTTAGTTTATCATACACATCTCTGCTCATCTACAGTTGCCATTACCTAAGTCAGCTGGCAGAGGACCTTGATAAATGAAGCCTGTTCCTTGAGACTAAATAGTTTAACACTAATTTTTTTGAGTCACATATCTTAAACGAAATGCAGAATTTGCCTCTCTCACAGGCACTACTCCAACTGCTACTGTGCCAGCTTTCTTCTCTTTTCTGCTAAAGACTTCTGCTTCACTTTATCACACCTTCAATAACATTTCATTCCTAGCCTTCAGAGACCAGGCTGATTAAGGAAAAAAATGCCTTTGCATGGTTTGTATTTGCACATAATAGATTTGCTTATGTCACACCAAACATCATTATGCCCATCTTTCTTAGTTGCTTCTCTGCTGGTTCTGCAGGGTCATCCCCAACATCATCTCAGAATGCCACGCTGCCTTCATCGAGTGCCTGGCCGCTTAGTGCCTCCGGCTACAGTAGCTCTTTCAGCAGCATTGCATCTGCACCTAGCATTGCAGGTACGGAACTGGCCTTTCTACTTCCACATCCTTCTGCATTCTCAGCAAAAGGCCCCAGGAGGTGCTTTCCCCGTGGTTACAGCGCTGCTGCCAGAGACAGATGCGTGTTTTCAGTGCTGCGCTCGGTGGGCAGCTCTCCTGGCAGCCCTTCAGCGGGGAGTGTTGGAGGGTGTGTGCCTGGAACTGTGCTTAGGAAAAATGTGTTCGTTCCACTTGGTGCCACGTGCTGTCACTCTGCACTGGCATCGAGATCTCTGAGGAGGGATATTGTCTAGGACCTCAGCAGGAACGCCCCTGCTTAGACACTTCCAGTAAGAGCTGATGTGAAATTTTTGTTACTAAACTCACTGTTAAAAGTGAAACATCTTCAGCTCAGGAAAAGCTTTAGTGCTTTAGTACCTCCAGGAGTTACTTTGCATGGCTCTGGAGGGGTTGGGTTTCTTGGGGCTCTTAAATGTCTTTTAATAGCCGAGCCAAAGCCTAATGCTGCCCTATATGACTGAGCTTGTAAGTGGACTAAATAACTGCCCCATTCTTTTTAACGAGCTCTAAATTCTGGAGTGTATCTCTGCAAAACATGGCAACTTTGCTTGCAAAGTACCTGCCTAAATATCCAGTTTGTCCCACTAGAAAAATGTGTTGGGGCTGTTGTGTGGATTGGATTAGCATTTTCATGTCTAACCACTGAAAACCCTCTACTTCTCTGGATGAAGGAAGGTGCAGCCTCCAGGTCACACTGCAGAATGCAAAAAATAAAAGGGCTTGTTTGGAATGTTTTCCTCCAGTGAAAGGAAAAGAAAGGAATGGCTTGCTTTTCTTTATCTGCCATGCATTTCTGCTTTATTTGCTTCTTAATATTTTTGCAGTGTGATCTAATGTTTGTGTTACCCCCATGGGAAGTAGTGACATAGCAACATCTGGTCTGTGGTGATGTGCATGTGTGGTGTACCACATCACAGGCTGGGCTACTCTTGAGTTCTCCAGCTCAGTCTTGCTCCCTTCCCTCATACCATTTTACACTCATTAATGTCCTCATCATCATTGTCAAATTGTTTTTGTTGCTACAGCTTGCAAGAAGATGGGAGAGTGGTTGCCCTTTCACTTGAATTGTTGTGATTCAATATAAAATCATTGAATTAAATAATTTAGATAAATGGAGGCACTCTGGGGAGTGTGTGTGTATATAACTGAGGCTGTGATTTGGCAACTGGTCAGTTTGGCTTTGGGACTGATAAAAAAACCCTCAGTGGCTGCCTTGATGCAAAACACTGTTCCAGTATAAACTTAGATCTGCCAGTTCAAATCTAGCCTTATAAAAACTCACAAGATTTTTGTATCTTAGACCTTGTCAGACCAAGTATTTACTTATTCTCTGCAATCAGCATTAAGGCAGCACAGTCACAACACCGTTTGCTGTGGCAGAAAATGCAGGATGTGTCCCTTGCAGTCCAGTCCAGTCCAACACGTGCTGCCAGTGTTGGTAACAGCAGGACTGAGCTGTCACAAGGAAATTGGTCTCTAATTGCACAACATGTGTTGGTACAAGGAGGAAAGGCAGGGAAGTGTAAGCCTGAGGTTGAATTCACCCTAAGGTGAATAAAGGGGTTTATTTTGGTATTTGTAATTTAAATCAATTTTGTCTGCTTCTCTAGATGATAAACTGTATTTGCTGTTGTTGGTTTTATGTTATTTTATTAAACTCTGATTTGGCAGAAACAGTAGTCAGAGTTTAAAAAGCAATTAGGGAAATAAACTGAACAGCAAAAAGTTACAAAGAGTGACAGGTTGTGATATGATCTGAACTTCTGCAGATTTCATTTTTCTCAAAGATACTTGGAAAAAAGAGTATCAGTTACTTTGAACATTAAGGAAGTTTTTATTGGTCTTTGATCTTGAGAATTTTACTATGTCAGAAGAACATATGGACATACTGGTTTTCTTTGCTAGATAAAATGAGTTGTTAAAAAAATGTTTAAGTCCTATTAAACCTTTTGAGAGAGACAGTCTTGAAGTGTTTCATTATAATTTTGGTGCAGTTAGATCTCAAATACCTAAGTGCGTTTTCTGGTCTTTTTTTCATGTATCATCTTTAAAAAGAAAGAGAAGTAGTAGGAGATTTTAAAAAAGGGAACTGTGTATGTGGCAGGTTGTGAGGTTCATTAAATACAGAATTATATGAAATTGTAAACACTGGTAGGTTCAAAGGATATAGGATTGATAGCACTGGATGGTACAGAAGGTTGTTTTCCTCCTGAAAAGCTGGAGGAATGTAGTCAGTGATACCCATCCTCCTCAGTTGAAAACTGAGAATACACAAATGTATTTTTTCCTTGTTGCAGGTAAACTGTCAGACATCAAGTCCACGTGGTCCTCTGGCCCGATCTCTCACACACAAGCCTCTCTGTCCCACGAACTCTGGAAGGTACCCAGAAACACTACGGCTCCGACGAGACCCCCTCCAGGCTTAACCAACACCAAGCCATCATCCACGTGGGGAGCCAGTCCCCTGGGCTGGACCAGCTCTTACTCCTCTGGTACCCTCAGCTTCTCTGCTTTTATTCTGTGTGTGAGGCTCCAGAATCTGGAGGTTCAGTGCAAGCAGAGTTGTGTCTGTTTTGAGGATTAATCTCACGCCTGTTTATTGGCTAAGTTGTAAATGGAGCTGCTCTCTTTCAGGTGGTCACATGAGTAATTTTACACAGGAATTGCCAAATTACCTAATCCAGCTAGGATTTTTATTTTTCCATTTCTTTATTTTATAAAAATGTCTTTCTTTTTTGTGGTGCGATCCAAAACTCCCTATGAGGCTTCAAGATGAGCCCGTGGAATTTAATATGAGATACATATTTGGAGCATGGATGTGTGAAGCCTTTAGGACCTGATGGCATTGCAGGGCCCTCAGGGAATGCCTTAATTTTTTTTTTCACACAGGCTCTTTTTTTAGGTGTTGTTTTGCTGAAATGCAAATATGAGAAACCATGGCTATATATATATATATATATATGGCTCTGTATGTATCTATATAGAGATATCTATATCTATATAAATATAGATACATATGCAAATATTACACGTATTTTATAAAGCTGACTACTTTATTAATCTGTTCTCACTAAGCTGAGAATTAAATGTTCTTCCCTCTTCTTGCCATTAATTTTGGATCTGTTTTCCTTCACCAAAGCCCCACCTGTGTGAGCAGATATTGCTGCTGCCTGCCCAGATTCTCTCCAGCTTTAGTGTGGTCACATGTGTGACCACAGGATCCACTGTGGTTTCTCAAATGCCACTCATAAAATACCAAGCTTGGACAGTTTCCTAATGTAAAACTCCAAGCTGTAAAACACCAGCCTAAGGTTGGAAGAACAGGTTTTGTTGGTTATGTCCTTGTATCTTCAATCAGGACATTGTCAGTGCAGAAATACCTGTTTTGAATAAGTCATATACATTAATCTGTCATTGGCAAGATAGCAGAGTGCTGCAGTGCAATAAAATCTTTAATAGCAGGCAGCAGCCTGAGCTTGGACATCAAGAATTGCTTTTAAAATGTGCCTTCCAGATTTAATTCTAATGCATCCTGGAGATCCAGTTTGCTGCAGTGTTCATAGCTGCATCTGCCACTAATAGTTACTCTGGGAGCGTGGAAAAAGCCACAGACCTTTTAAATGTAACAAGAGCAGGTTTCCATTCAGCAGCCTTTCATTCCAGAGGAGACAGTAAATCAAGATGTGAGGAAATAGCCGTAGGATTTGTTTTCAGTAGCAGTGAGGCTTGCTAGTATGTTGTGATTCCAGGTAAATTTGCTTGTAATACGTTCTCCAGACCATGATCAATGGAGTTTTTTGTGGAATTTTATTGCAGGTTCTGCATGGAGTACTGACAGCTCAGGGAGAACAAGCAGCTGGCTGGTTCTTCGGAACCTCACCCCCCAGGTAACTGGAATTGCACAGGGAAAAGGACCTGGCACATTTAAGAGATTATAAGAACAACATTTAGCAGCCTTGGTTATTTGATTTATTTGAAGGAAGAGTAATTACTCTGCATTTATTACAGGTGTCGTCTTCAGGGAATTTGTTAACTTTTCAAAGTGCTGTCAAATCAAACATAAACTTTTAAGGCTGTAATTAATCATTCAGTGGGCACCATTTGTGTACGTGTAAGTTGGGAGGTGAATGGTGCTTTAAAGCAGGCACAGAAATGTAAAATCTACTTTTCCTGTGGGTTTTTTTTTTGGTTCTTCTCACAAGTCTGTCAGATCCTCTACTTGTCCTTCACACAGTGTCATTGAGAAGGAAGAACATAAACCACAAAGCCTTGAGTGCAGACATCCAAATTGATCTTGGGAAAAATTTAGTTATATTTATGAGCAATGTGTTTTTCCTTTGACTTCTTTCTCAACTTCTGTGAACTTTCAATGATAAATATAATTTATATAACCTAAACTGGGAAATTTTGTGCACTGGCCTATAGGGAAGACTTTTTAAAAAGACAGGATGTCTCCCTCAGTGCAGAGAGGGATAAGTCTGTAATTTAATTCTTCTTTTCCTTTCACTTGTACTCACTCTTTAGCTTTTAAAACTTGCTTAACAAGCATTTAAAGTAACATCACAACAGCACAGACAACCTTTGCCACCTTCTCTCCCCAGATTGATGGTTCCACACTGCGGACACTGTGTTTGCAACACGGCCCTCTCATAACATTCCACTTGAACCTGACACAAGGGAATGCTGTGGTCCGATACAGTTCCAAGGAGGAAGCAGCCAAGGCCCAGAAGTCTCTGCACATGTATGTTTCTGCTCTCTTTTTCATTTTCTATTAAGCCAGTTTTATCCCAAAAACTAATTTCTTAGGCATTTATTTGCCAGGAGTCAGAACTCCGATCACTAGTTACTTTTAATCTGATTTTCAAAATTGCCTAAATGGGATAGAAAAATATCAGCTAGGGGGTAGATACTCATGGACTACTGAATAAGAGGTCATTACAAAACTTTATTCACCATTAATAATGTTTTCAGTTAGGATTTGTCACCTGTAAGGCTGCAAAGAGTTTGTAAGATGTGATAAGGATTCCAGAAGAAGCTCAGAGAGAGGGACATTTAGCTTTAGGAAGGACATAACCATGATAAATCATAGAATTGCCTGGGTTGGAAGGGACCTTAAAGATCATCAGTTCCACCCCCTGCTATGGGCAGGGACACCTTCCACTAGCCCAGGTTGCTCCAAGCCCCATCCAGCCTGGCCTTGAACACTCCACGGATGGGGCAGCCACAGCTTCTCTGGGCAACCTGTGCCAGGGCCTCCCCACCCTCACAGGGAAGAATTTTTCCCTGATATCTCATCTGTAAGATAGAAAAGCCATTCCCCTCTTCCTGTCACTGTAGGCCCTTGTAAATAGTCTCTCTCCATGTTTCTTGTAGCTACTTCAGGTACTGGAAGGCAGCAATTAGGTCACCCCAAAGCCTTCTCTTATCCAGGCTGAGCAACCCCAGTTGTCCCAGCCTTTCCTCACAGGACATCCACCTCGGGTATTCCCAGAAGTGCCCTTTGCATCATTCCACCTTTTTTGTTTGTGCCCTCAGGTGTGTCCTGGGAAACACTACCATCCTGGCCGAGTTTGCTGGTGAGGAAGAAGTGAACCGTTTCCTAGCGCAGGGCCAGGCGCTGCCGCCCACCTCCAGCTGGCAGTCCAACACTGGATCCACCCAGACCCGCCTGGGCTCCTCCGGCAGCTCCCACGGCCTGGTGCGCCCCGACACCGGCCACTGGAACCCCCCCTGCCTGGGGGGCAAGGGCAGCAGCGACCTGCTGTGGGGAGGGGTCCCCCAGTACTCCAGCAGCCTTTGGGGACCCCCCAGCGCCGACGACGGCAGAGTCATCGGGAGCCCCACGCCTCTGAATACTCTCCTCCCAGGGGATCTTCTCAGCGGGGAGTCCATCTAGGAAACGAGAGAGAAAACAAAATGGAAATAACAATCATCAGCACTAAAGGAAAAAAAAAAATTAAAAAAAAAAAAAATTTAAAAAAAAAAAAAAAAAAGAATTGTAACCCTTTCCAGTCCCGGGCTTGATGAAGAATCCAGCTTTAACCCATGAGACTGGCAGCCCTCCTTAGTACCTCTGTCCAATATCGAATCCGAAACTGCAGAAGTCCTTGTGAACTGTTCCTGAAACAGTATGGGCTCCTTTTTGGTCAGTGTCACATGCTAATGACAGGTTTTATTGTTTGGTTGTTTTTTTTTTTCATGGCTTTTTTGTTTTATGTTGTCTTTTTATGTTTGTATGGTGATTTTTTTTTTTTTTTTCAAAACCAAGTATAAAAGCTGCTTAGAATAGGTCTATCATGAAGGGCACTTTTCAGAATTTGGGCTGGAAAGGGTTATTTTATCAACTTGGGGCGGGGAGGGGAGGGTGGGAAGGGGAAATGAAAGCCTATTTAAATGAGCCTGTGACTATTATGCACATTACAGAGGCGGACCCAATAATCAGAAAGGGTGAAGTGTGATATTTACCATTGGTACAGAAAAGTGACGAATCCAAGTGGGAACTATGGACTGTACAGGTTGAGTTGGGGTGGGGAGGGAGGGCAGGGTTGGGGTATCTCTGTGTCCACTACTCCCATGGATCTGCCTATGCACATTGCCCTTGTTTCATTACTTTTTCATGTCATTTTTTTAATCCCAAAAATATTAAAAAAAAAAAAGGTAAAAAAAAATTTAAAAAAAATTAACAAAGAAACAAAAAAAAAATTAAAAAAAAAAAAAAAAGGCAACAAACCATATCAACATGCAAATACTTGAATCCAGCAGGCCAATAACAAAATGTGAACACTTTCTGAGTTGAATTATTACACTTCCAGGTCAGCATCAGTACACAAAAAACAGGCTCTAAGAATTTTTTTTTTTTTTTAAAAAAAGTTCAGACTCTATGTTTTTGTTGGGACATATGTGAGTGTGCCTCTGTGTGTGAGTGTGTGAGTGTGTGTGCCCACGTGTGGTTTAACTCAACGTGTGAAGTTTTTCCTTTGATTCAGTATATGCTTTTTATTTGCTCATTGGTCAAATGTTTAATTGTTATTAGCTTCTAACTTTGCACTGAGTGTCCGCAGCCCTTCTTGTAGCTAATCCTGTAATGGTAAAAAACAACAAAAAAAAAAAAAGGACAAAAAAAAGGAAAAAAAAAAAAAAGAAAGAAAAAAAAAAAAAGGAAAGAAACTGATAGAAGGGGCCGGCGACAATTCATGTGTAAATGTTTACTCAAGGACTCTTATTGCATTTTAAAAATTACAGTGTGTATCTCTGGAGAATAATATGTATATCTACCTTTAGCGGCTTTTTATTGTGGACTAATGCAAGAAAATTATTACCGGAGTATTGCACCATTTTTCCATTCGGAATATAAAGTTTAAAAAAAAAAAATACTCTTGTTGAACTGTGGCCATAGATAATTGTAAAGAGTTGATAGTTCCCTTGCAAGCAGGAACAGAAACAAGCACTTGGACATAAGTTTTGACTGCTTTTGGAGGAGCCAGGAGTTTTGGCTCCCACCTGTTTACAGACCTTTTTTTTCTCTCCTTCAAACTTTAAAATAAAAAAAGGAATTACAAAAAAAAAAAAAAAAAAACACAAAAAAAAAAAAAAAAAAAAAAAAAAAAAGACTTCCATCGTAAAGAAAAACTATTTTCAGAATGAAGATATGCTACTTCAGAGCTCTGGGATTGAACAGTGTTGTTGTATTATCCTTTTCTTTGGCCATTGCTGTGTACTATTTTTGTTGTTGTTTTCCTCCTCTTCGTCAAAGTGGCGAAAACTTTGTGATCACTATCTTGCACATGGTGGAAGATGTCTCAGGAAAGCCGGGTTTCCCGAGGAGCAACTCCACACCATTTCATGTATTTTTAAAACCCAACTCCTAGCACTGAAGATATTATTAAAAAACAAAATAAAATAAAAAAAAAGACAGTAAGAAAGAAGAAAAATACCTAATCTAATGTGTAGCAGTTACATATTTACCAAATAATGGACTCAAAAGAAATAGATGTTTGAAGAGTGCTTTATATATTAAAAAATCGCTTTATGTTTAAAAAAAAAAGATCAATGTTTTTGATTGTTTTGAAAGGAAGAAAGACAATGGAATAACATACACTTCAAGTATGTTTTAAAAATTATATGAACATTGTGCTCCCTGCCTGCTTGGATCAGGAAACTTGTGCATTACTTTTTTTTTTTTTTTTTTTTTTTGAAGATTAGCTTTTTAATGGTTTTATCAGATTTAAAGGGTCCTGCAAGATTGCAAATTAACAAAAGCTGGTTTTATAGAGGATCATGAACTATGCACAAACTGGGTTCAAGACTTGTTTTTTTTTTCCTCAAGTTTTAGTAGTGTATTTAGCTGAATAACCTTTCCTCAGAGTAATTGCATCTCATTGCCATTACACGCCTGTTACATATATATTTTATATATATATACACACACACACTTATATAAAATATGTATGTGTGTATGTGCGTGTTTACATACAATTTTCCATGCTGAAGTTTAGCATTGAGTTGTAGAAAAACTCCTGATATTTTCAAATTGGGAATGAAAAGTTATGTTGGAGGGTGGGGTGGGTTTTGTTTTGGGGCTTTTTTTGGTTTTGTTTTGGGGGTTTTTTTTTGCCTTTTCCTTTTGAATTAAAGATGTCTGTAACTCTGAGATTAAAAAGAAAACCAACAATTGTGGCTTTTAATGTTTATTCTCCTCATAGAATGTGATTGTTAAAGAACATGCACCGAAAGTTGCTTTCAAGAGTACGAAGATTCTTTGAAACTTAATAAATTGCAGTTTTTTCTTGGCTGTTGAAATAATGTGTATTTTTCTTTTATGCAGGGGATACTAAAAATATATATATATATATATATATAGTTGAATCTGTTAAGGTATTTCATGAAGAAGTTTAACTCTTTCACTTTGAATGAGGATGACGTGTAAGCCAGGAAAGCCCCTCCTGTGGTCGCTCCCTCTGCTTGTTGGTGACACCCTCATGAGCTTGTTCCATGAACGCTTTGCACATCACATCCAAAAGCACTGCACAAGCAGCAGTAACCATTCTTGTGTTAAAATTCTGTTTTTATCATTTTTTCCATGTCTTCAGTAACGTAGCTGAATCGTTAGCCCTGTGAACGCAGCGAGGCTGGAGATGACTCTCCTGCTCCATCGTTCCAGAGCCTCCCAGTTTCTGGATGTCTCTAAATGGCCTGTAAAATCTTTGAGGTGAGCAAATAGCCCGTGAATAGGGTAGGAACACCAAAATATTTTCATGTTTGGCCTTTCAGGGCTTGGCTTGAGGAAGGTGTTTGCATTGGTAACCACTCCAAGGTCCCTTTACCCCGACCATGCCAACCTGAGGCACAGGAGACGAAGGGCCAGGGATTCCTGGGGAGATTCCAGCCTGGCTCCATCTCCCTCATCTGAACTTGAGTAAATGCTCTCCTCCCACCTCCACCAAACCAGTTCCTGACCTTCAGTGGCCATGGGGCAGCTGGTGCTCAATGTGATGATGTACAGCAGGGCTGGCCCTGGGTCTCGAGGGGTGTGAGTTTGTACTGCTGAAACTCATTTCCCCAGTCCATTTGAGAAGGAAAAAGCTAATATGGACAGCTGGATTAATTAAAAAATTGGTTCCCAGTCCTGAATAACCACCTGTGCTGTCCCAGGGATTGTCCATAAACCGTAATTCCGTAAGAAAGACCCATGGGGCAGGGGGCTCCCAAGCAACTTGAGAGTTGCAGTTTGCTGGCAGGTATGATACAGTTTAAAATACCCAAATTCAGCTTTGGGGGTAACTTCTGTTACTGAAACAGATAAAGAACCCTGTCTGAAGCCTGTTCTCTCAATTTTACTGATCTGGCCCCAAAGTTGCACAGCTCTTTTTTACTGCTTTCCTTCCCACCTCCTTATTTTTTATCTCTTCCAGTGGTTTCTAATGAAACTCTTGGAAGAGAGTTTCCTTCTCTTTTCCTTCCTTGGTTCTTTTTTAGTTTTGCTTTTTGTTGGGCATTTTTTCCTTGGCAAGGAGGGCTTTCGGTTCTGGTGACTTCAGGTTTTGTTGCCAAGACATCAAAGTCCCTTATGAAGTCGGATATTTCAGTCTTCCATGGGGTTGGCAGTGATGGCTTTTTGTAAATCAAATGCACTCTCAATATTTAGCATCCCCTGGTATATTAAAGGGAATACAGCTTTTGACCAAATCTTTTACTGTCAGCATAGCTCTTTATTTTCACTGTCATTCTTCTGCTTCAGTACTATTCAGTATTTCTCAAACTGTAATGAAAGCTCCTGATGATCAGGATTCGCCCTGTGGCCCCAGAATCTTTACAAGAAAAGATTTTTTAACAATTTGTGTTTTTTCTGTATATTGCATTTGCTGTACCCTCCATGGCACCTTCACTGCATGGCTCCCTGTCTTTAGACCAGGAGAATTTCTGTTTCCTGAGTGGTCTGAAACTGTCAAACTTCTTCTTAGTTCCTTGTCTAGTTTGTGGGTGGCACTGGCAGAGCAGATGTGTTTTTTTGCTTTTTCTGCTCCAGAAATATATTATTGTTCTTGCTAATTCAATATATGATTGTGTACGTGAAGGAGCTTTTTAATTAAAAAAAAAAAAATATGTATATGGATATCTGTATATGTTAAGAATTATTGGAGTTGGAAGAGCCTGGAAATGGAATTGGAAAACCCTTTAGGATTTGGGTTGTGGGCAGCTACAGTGTGGAGCAGATCCAAGCCGATCCAAGGTTGCCGTGGTGACGGATCCTCTGATGCTGCCCATGAACTGCTGCTGAGTCCCCGCTGCCCGGTGCCAGCTGTGCCCCTGTGTCACTGTATTGATGCTGAATGTACAATCTCAAGTCCTGTATAGCCAGTTTCAGGGAAGGGGAGCTCTGGAAAAATGGGATGTGGAGCTCAAAGGAACTCTTGGTGTAAACTGCCCGGATGCCTGGCGTCCACCGCCTTCCGCAGCGCCCCGAGGGAAACGGCAGCTCCCGAAACGCCTGGAAGCGTCTGTGGCTCACTTAGCAGGATCAGAAGGAGATGCCCAGGACGTGTCAGCTCCCTGCAGGTCTCCTGGACTGTCTCACCCAGGTCCTTGTGCCGCTTCCGAGGCGGCGACGTGCCCGTGAAACCTTAACGGCCGCGGGAGCAGCCCAACTTCTGTCCTCTCACATTCCCCCTCCTTCCCGAGGGGTCTCTTCCACAAATGTGCTCTTGGAATTCGGGAGAGGCGCCTCCAACACTCATCCACACTGTAGCTTTCCTGAGGGAGGACGGACTAACGTGCCCATGTTCTAGTGGGGTCTAGGTGTCTTCCTCCAGCGGATACACCAATCGCTCAGGTTAACTATTGCTGCAAGTTGCCAGACTCCATCCTCCAGCACCAGTCCAGCCTCTGCAGAGACAGTCCAGCTGACCATCAAATGACCATTTTAACCCCTCATGCTCCCACTGTTTCCTTCTCTCTAATGAAGGTGTTTCATTAGACGTGAATATGACACTTTGTCCTCTGTGTGTGTGCCCCTGGTGTTTGCTTTTTACTGTCCGATGCATTGGAAACGAGTTGCTTGTAAATTTTCTCTTGATGAAAACGTGGTCCCAGTGCAAGTCATGATTTCAGGGTTATTAAAATAATGTTGCGAAACACAACAAGCTGGGAGATTGCTTTGCTTTCAATAAATATGGTTATTGGTAAGGGTGGTTTGCCTTGACCTGCCTGTGAGGTGCTCACTCCTGGGGAGAAGTGTGTGGGTGTCCCCATCAGTGCCTGTGTCTGTCCTGAGTTAATATTTATTGCTTTAAATGTTCATTTTGTTCAGGGAATGGTTGTGATCACAATCAAAACTGTGGTAGATTACTCTATAATTTTTCTGTTGTTCTGTGTCCTGGATCCTTTGCCCACTTCATAATTTTTCTGAATTTCTTGATTTATACCAAAAACATGTATTCAAGCAGGCTACAGACCTCTCTGTGTTACTGAGGGTGTTGGAGCAAATTCTCTTTCCATTTTTGCACTAGGTCTCCTTGTTTTGGCTGCAATATTCAGGATTTATAAGTGTGTTTTACTGTCTCTACCTCACACGAGCAGGAAAAACTCAACATTTTTTTCATTATTTTATCTGATTTCAAGAGGGACCCACTTTTTCTGCCTTTTCCTGTCGCTTGTCTGTCTCCTTCCTATCTCTTCCCTCCCTACAGATGACAGGAAACTTCTGATAAAGGCAGAGGAGATGATTATTCTGCAGGTGAGGAATGGCAGCTTCTGCCTGTGTGAAGTCCGTAAGTTGCCTAATTAGAACTGTAATCCCAGTGGGATATTTGAGCACAAGCATAAAATATCTGAAAGACATAGGAGGGGACAGGCATTAGTCCCCACAGCTAGGCAGCCTCTCTTTTCTGAGAGAATCATGAATTCAGAAGGAAAAGCTCATAGGAAGACTGAAATAACTCTGATTACTTTGTGATGCTTTTATAGCTGAGCAGTTTCCAAAACACTACCAGGATGGGGAGACCTGCAGCATCCAAGGTGGGATGTGGCTGGGGTGAGGAGGGTGGAAAGCCCAGGGACAAGGCTGGAAGTGTACAGGGATCTCTCTCTCCCTTGGTGCTGTTTTTAGGCACAGACCATTAAAGATTAAAACTGGGATTGATGCACAGTAAAGCTTAAAACTTTGTCTGCAGCAGGACACTATTTGTTTAGTGGAGGTTAAGCACAAAACACTAAACCCTCATAATATGAAATTTAAGACAATGTAAGGAATTTTTGCTTCTGTTCCTAAATGGGGGGGCAGAAGGAAGAGGGAAGTATCCAAGAATAACAGGACTCAGTACATAAGTGAGAGATTGTGTCATCTGCTAGTACAGACATCTCCCAGTAGAGATAGTGATTTTTATCCTCTTACTGCTCCAACACTCTTTTTTTAATCTGTTTTATAGACTCCAGGTGTTCCAGGACATTGGAGCCTACTCTGGGCACTGTCTTTAGAAGAGAAAGGGAAATTTCTGAAGTGAATCTGGAGGGAATTGATTGAAGTCTCCTTTTACCTGGACCTTCAACAAGGCTAGGAGGCCAAATACCGTGTTTTCCAAATGAGGTTAACCCTAGTGATCTTGTCATTTCCCCCTGGCATAACAAGGATTGGTGCATTTTTAAAAGTGCTTTGCTGGTTTCACAGCCAGTGGTGGGACCACAGAGGGATCAGTTGTGTGTCCAACTGCTGTCTTGTGTGGGACCTGAGAGGGCAGAAATACCAAGTCAGAGGATTTATCCAGCCTTTCACCATTTTTTTTTTTGATTAAGGCCAGAGCTCTCATGGGGATGATCAGATTTGTAGTGAAAAGCTGGGAAAACACTGCATAGAGTGGAGAATCCTGGGTTTTTGGAGGTTCTACCTGCCTCTGCCTGGCCTCAGAAGCCAGTCTGCCCTCCAAGGCTCAGGGTGGGGCACCGCCCTTCCATGCCTTGTGGCACAACTTTGTATCAGGGGAACAAACTCCACTTTTCCTCTCTTTGCCTGGACAAGCAGCCCTGTTTTATTAAGGCACTGCCATGAGCTTTTGTGGTCTTTCTTGAAGGCCACCTGGATACTCAGCTCTGGGAAGACGCAGGGCATGAACTCAGGTGTTTACAGAGCAGTTGAGGCTCCTCGCTGGAGCCTCCTGATTTTGAAAAGCCTTTGTATCAGGCCAAGCTCAACTCGCTGCTCTCCGTGCACTGAGCTGTCAACTGAAAGGCAAAGGACTGTAAATCCTCTTTGGAAACACTCGGAGTCCTGTGGATCCCTGAGCTCCTGCAACCTGCTCTGTCCAGGGAACGGATCTGAGCTTGCTGCAGGGTGGGCTGGTGGTCACAGGAGTCAGTAGTCAGAGGATCAGTGGTCACAGGGTCACAGGGTCGGTGGTCACAGGGGTCAGTGGTCACAGGAGTCAGTGGTCAGAGGGTCAGTGGTCAATGGTCAGAGGGTCACAGAGGGGTCAGTGGTCAATGGTCAGAGGGTCACAGGGGTCAGTGGTCAGAGGGTCACAGGGCTCAGTGGTCACAGAGGGGTCAGTGGTCAATGGTCAGAGGGTCACAGGGGTCAGCGGTCAATGGTCAGAGGGTCACAGGGGTCTGGTCAATGGTCAGAGGGTCACAGAGGGGTCAGTGGTCAGTGGTCAGAGGTCACAGGGGTCAGTGGTCAATGGTCAGAGGGTCGGTGGTCACAGGGGTCAGTGGTCACAGGAGTCAGTGGTCAGAGGGTCACAGAGGGTCTGGTCAATGGTCAGAGGGTCAGTGGTCAATGGTCAGAGGGTCAGTGGTCAGGGGTCAGTGGTCAATGGTCAGAGGGTCACAGAGGGGTCAGTGGTCAATGGTCAGAGGGTCACAGGGGTCAGTGGTCAATGGTCAGAGGGTCAGTGGTCAGAGGGTCAGTGGTCAATGGTCAGAGGGTCACAGAGGGGTCAGTGGTCAGAGGGTCAGTGGTCAGAGGGTCAGTGGTCAATGGTCAGAGGGTCAGCCCTGGCCCTGCCCATGCCCGTAGCCTGCAATTCCCCGTGTGCCCACACGGTGGTGCCCGGGAGCCGCTGCGAGCCCCCGGCGCGTGGGTTGAGGGGGATCCTTTAAAAACTTCCCTGGAAGCAATTCCAGCCAGGATTTGTGTCCCGGAGGCTGCTCTGCCACAGGGGTGCAAACCGGCAGCGCGGGGAGTGTTGTGGGGCCACCCTGCACGGATCCATCACAAGCAGAGAGTGAACTGTAGGTGAGCGAGGCAAGCTGGGACCGTGGCCGGTGCATGGGCTCAATCGTGGAATCATTAAGGTTGGAAAAAAACCCTCTAAGATCATTGAGTCCAGCTGTCAATACAGCACTGCCGCGCCTACCACTAACCCATGTCCCCAGCCTTTAAATCCTTCCAGTAATGGTGACTCCACCACTGCCCTGGGCAGCTGTGCCAGGGCTCCACAACCCTTGGGGAGAAGAGATTTTAGCCCATGTCCATCCCAAACCTCCCTGTCACAACTTGAGGCCGTTTCCTCTTGTCCTGTCGTTTGTTAACCTGGAAGAGGAGACCAAACCCCACCTGGCTCCAACCTCCTTCCCTGCACTGAGAAGCTCTGAAAGCTGGGAGGGCGCTGCCCTGACAGGGTGCAGCCCCACGGGGAACTCGGTGACCCTCCCAGGTCTTTTCCAGCCCAAACAGCTCTACGGCTCCCTGAATCCCAACCCCCTGGGAGAGCCCTAATGGGGCTCATGTGATGCGGGGGCCCCCGCAGGTTTGCTCTTCCCAGAGCACTTAGCCCGCCTCGTTTCCCCGGTGCTTCGCCAAAAGGCCCTAAAAGACAAATACCCTTAATTATCCCCTCAACGAGTAAGTGCCGCTCGTTCGGTTTAAAATGTTTTGCTTTCTCGTTGGGTGTCCTTGGCGCGGGTGTTCGTGCCAGGGCCGCGCATCAATCAGGGCCTGAGCAAACTGCGGCAGCCAGCGCCAATTAGGCGCATCCCGGGCGGCAGCTGCTCCCTGCCCGCGGCCGTGGCTGTCGCTGGTGCGGCGGCAGCTTCATTCTCCCTGATTGTTTGTGTACACAAATTAAGCGGCAGCGTCTCGCGGCGGTTTGATGGGATGTGCTACATGATGTGGAACAGAACAGGAGGGGATCACACTGGAGCTTTTCTCCGGGGAGGGGGGGGGGGGTGATGTGGGTGAGCGTGGGGACAGGGCTCCTGTCTGTGCTGGAGGCGAGTCTGGAGTGAAATGGGTCCAAGCGGGGGAAGGCGGAGGCAGGGGGAAGGGAAAGAAGTTAAAATGAGAAGATGTTCCAGATCTTTCTGGTGTTTTTGAGAATGGAAAAAGCAGCCTTCGGTTCTGCAAGTTCACTGTGATGTGTTGGGGGTTTTGTGGAAAAACAGCACCAGAGGTCTCCCCTCTGGGGAGCCGTGTGTGTCCTGGCACAGCCCTCACTGCTTCGAAGGGGCTGGGACTTCCAGAGCACCCCAGTGACCCCACAGGGGCACGGCCCTGTGTCCTTGTCCCTCTCTCATGCCCTGCAGAACATCTCCCTTCCCCGGTACCAGGCCCTCTACACACGGATGTGACAGCCCACCCATGGAAAACCAGCTCCAACCTAAACCACAGCCGAGAGGGCCGGGTGAGGAAACCCCTTCAGCCCCAGAAATGGGATCAGGAGAGCAGCCAGTGCTGCTGCCTGGGATGCCATGCTGGGCACAGCCATGTGGTGCCTGGGGGATGAGGGACTGAGGCTTTTCCCTGGATCCTGTGCCTCGGACATTGCATCAGCTGATGGAGACAACAGCCCTCAGCCCCCAACAGCCACGACTGCCCTGGGCCACCATCACAGGCACCCTCCACTCTACACTCTGGGTCTCCTGTGTGCTGGAGGCTTTGAGCAGCTGCCTGGGAGGCCAGAGCCCTTTCATCTGCTGCTCCCCTGACCCACAGGGGCTGGAAGTACCCGGGGATACAGTCAACTCCTCTGGACAACTAAGTGCTTCAGGGCAGAGCTGAGCTGGGGGCACCTGGATGGACGTTCAAATGGATCCTGCCCTTCCCCTGAAGCCCCAGTACAAAGCAGCTGCCCCAGCTGCCCTCTCCTCCTGGCAGGGGAAGCAGAAGGAAGGGCAAATTTTGTTCACCTCATCGGGTGTGTGGTTGTGTGATGTTTGCAGGGACAGCTGTAGCCAAGCTGTGCGTGCAGGCTCCGTCTGCCACATCCCCTGGACTGGGCTGGGCTGCAGCTGCACTGTGTTCTGTACCTGTGACTGCTGTCTGGGGAGGAAAAGCCATTTCACCTGTTGCCATTTGTTGAAAGAAAATGAGCTGCAGGTGTTTAGCCCTTCACCACCCCACGGTGTACAGAAACACACCTGCAGGTACCAGCTGGCTCCAGCCCTCAGTGAGGCTTTACCACCCCTGTGCGAACCAGACACCTCGGGACCACCCTCACCTGCATTTTTCTGCTTCAGCAGAGGCTGAACACCCCCTCCCTCAGGCCATGAGACATCAGATGTGCTTATTTTTAACCCCACTTGGCACAACTGCACTGGGGTCACCTCTTGCCCTGTTCTCGCTGAGGGAAGCGCTGCTGGAGCCCCAGCACAGTGATGGGCACGGGTGGAGATGGGGACAGGGCTCAGAAAAGGCTGTGCCTGGCACAGATCACTCCTCTGGGACAGGCACCAGGCATTGCTTTGGGTGCATTTCGATATTGCAGCTATTGTACATCCTTCCTGCAGCACAGCACCGGTGCCTCTCGGGCTCCTGCAGGGCTGAGGCTCCCGCCTGCTCTCCCCTGTCCTGCCTCCCGCACAGAGCCGTGGGGAGGAGGCATCCAAAGGCTCTTGTCCTGCCAGAGCCGCCGCATGGCAAACGCTTGCCAAGCCCCAGCTCCACCCCGTGTCCCTGCACAGCCAGAGCTGGCTGATCCCGAAGTCCCAGCGAGGTGATTGTCCCTGCAACCCCGGCAAAGCTGCCCCTGCCACAGCATTTCACGGGAGTGATGCAAAACAACCCCAAATTTGCAACTCCCAGAGAGGGGCTGTGCAGGTGGGGGCTGAAGGGCTGTGGAGAGCTGCCCTGCACCCCCACTGCATCCCTGTCCTGCATCCCCACAGCATCCCTGTCGCCTGTCCCGAGCCCCTGCCCCGCTTGGCCGGGGGGAGCAGGGCTGGGAGCGGCCCTGGGAGGGGACCCTGGGGCTGGCAGGGCCGGGAGCCGGCGGGAGGGGGCTGTACAAGGCTGGCGGGCATTGGGCGAGGGGCAAGTGCTGCTGGAGAGCTCCTCCAATGGCTCCGCTCTTTGCTGGAGCCCAGCGCTGCGGGGACAGGAGTTGGGAGCGTGGAGAGGGTCTCGCATCTGCGTCGGAAGCTCCTGCACCTCCAGCATCTTCTGCACCTCCGGCATCTTCTGCACCTCCAGCATCTTCTGCACCTCCGGCATCTTCTGCACCTCCGGCATCTTGGTTTCTCCATCCGTGGCAGCTGCGGCATCTCGGTCAGGTCTTGGGCCCGGACTGGCTGGGAGTGGGGGGTCCCGGAGCCCCCCGGGGTTACTGGTCTGCCCGGGGAAGGCAGCAGTGGGACACAGGGGAGCCTCTCCCTGTGAAAGCTCTGCCAGCCTGAGCCCGGGGAGGCTGCTGGGCTGCCCCAGATGTCAGGAGCTGTTTCCAGTCCGTACCATGGATCTGCAGAGGAGGGGGCTGGCGGCCAGCCTTGCTCATCCCAGCGTCCTCCACTACAAAGAGGTTTCCTTATGCTTTTAGCATAATACTGTAAACCAAAGGGCCTGGTCCTGATTCTGCATAACCCAATCCAATGCCCAAACCCCCTCTGGAAGGTGTGGGACTCCTGCAGGGCCAGCTGGTTAGTGAGAGAGTTAGTCCAAGGCATCCCTGGCCAGGGCTGAGTGTGTTCAGGGCTGGCAGGGACAGCCCTGTCCCTGGTGTCCTGGCTGGTGGGTACCCCCACGGTGCAGCATTCCTGTGGCTGCATCCATCACACCCATCCCTGCTGTGGGCACCACGCTGGGTCAGCTGCCCAAAGTGAACTGTCTTTATATTCCATTCCCTGCAGGCAGGAGCCCCGTTTTCCCCAGGATAGGCTCTGTCCTGAGCAGCTCTGTGTGTCCCCAGGGTGCTGGACAAGGGATGGCCACTTCACAGAGCGTGGTGGTGGCAGCACAAAGTATGTGGCAGAGAGACAGAGACAGTGGGTCCTGCTGCCACCTCCCTGCCCCTCTACCTGTCCCTCACCACTGCCTGCCCCCCCAGCCTCATCCCCCATCAGACTCCAGGCTGCAGGAGAAGGATTTTGGCTGCCTGGAGGTCACTGTTGTTGCAGCAGTGCCCAGGGGGGATGTGATAGAAGGGTGCCCCAGCAAGTGATGCCCATGGAAAGGCTGGTCTTTCCCTGCTGGCACCTTCTCCTCTGGGATCTTTGGGTGCCTGCCCAACTGAGCAGGGGCACACCATCCTGTAGGGCTGGGATTCTGAGAGCTGAGGACCCCAAACTGCGCATCTGCCTGGGGTCTGGACTAGGGGGTTTGACTCTTTAATCCACTGAGCTTTAATCTCCCTGTGAAAACTGCTCTGTGTGTGGCTGCTGGGCAGGTTAAGTGCTCATTACAGCAGGGATGGGCTGTGTGAGGGGAGAGTAAATCAGTGCAGCACACACTCAAGCCCTCCCCCGCACCATTTATTATCTCCTTTTAACGTGTTTGTGTTTTGATTTCAGTGGATCAGCTGTCTTTTAATGGCTGGTTGTTGTTTTCTGTACTCGGAGGTGAGAATGTGTTTTATTGTTAGTTTCTCCTGCCTCGTGAAGAAATTGAAGTGTGGTTCAATTAGCAGCAAAATCATAACATTGAATGTCCTGACACTGCCAGGGGAGGCTGGAGAGCTGGGGAGGCTCCTCCAGTGCCAGGACACTCCAGATAGGGATGGAGCATGGAGGAGGGAAAGCAAAACGCAGTGATAAGGGCATAAAACACTGATATCAGGCACTGCAGCACTCGAAATACAGGAGAAAGAAACCGAGACATTTTCCAGCTCCACTTTGCAACAACGTGTTTATTGGGAACGCTTAAAAAAACCCAAACAAACGAAAAGAGAATAGAGAAAAACCAAAGTGATGCACAGACTGCCCTATCTCATGCTCTACGCCAGGTACAAACTCAGAACTACTTCGGACACTGGATCTGCCGTGGTTGCCGTGGCCGTGCCGGGAGCTGGGAGGTGCGAGTGCTTGGGCTGAGGTGACCCAGAGCCTGAGGGGGTGATGCAGCTGCAGGTGCCCAGATCTGCCTTCCAATCCCATGGCCAGAGCCCCGTTGTTTGTGCTTGTCTGCCCCCACACAGCGTTCTACCAACCATTCCCCAGGTAAGCCTTTTCTGGGAGTTCACCCTCTCCCCACACTGTCCCAACAACCAGCATCCCTGCCCACCTCCCTCCTCCTTGTCACCTCCAACCCTCTCTACTCCCAGTAGGCTGGGTGGGGAAGAAGAAGGAAGGGGGTGGGAGGCAGCAGGGTTAGTTTTGGCCGAGGCAGCACCTCTCCCCACCCAGCCCACCTGAGTTTCCAGCCGGTGCCGCTGCTGCTGGCGCCTTCCTCCCGGCCCCAGGGCGGCCGGCTCAGCACACGGAGCAGCTGTTGGTCTTGTTCATGGGCGGCCTGAGCGCCTGCTCCTTGGGCAGGGTCTCCCTCCTCTTGCAGAGCGCAGGGCTGAGCCGGCTGGGCAGGTTGGCTTGCTGCAGCAGCTCCCTGAACACCTCCAGGACGTTCTCGTTGTCCTTGGCAGACGTCTCCAGGAAGCGGCTGTTCCAGTCCAGCTCCACCAGCGACAGGGCGTCCTCCACCGGCACCTGCCGCTCGCCGCCGCTCTCCGCCTTGTTGCCGACCACCACGATGGGGGGGAACTTGTCCTCCTTCACCTCCACGATCTCCTCCCGCAGGCTCTTCACGCTCTCGAAGGACTCGGCGTCATCCACGGCGTAGACCAGGGCGAAGGCGTCGCTGTTCTGGATCGAGAGCTTCCTCATGGCCGGGAAGGAGTAGCTGCCGCTGGTGTCCAGGATTTCCACCTTGACCGTGGCCCCGCACACCTCGTACTCCTTGCTGTGCAGCTCCTCCACCGTGCGCCGGTGCTTGGGCTCGAAGGTGTCCATCAGGAAGCGGCGGATGAGGGACGTCTTGCCCACGCCGGCCGCTCCCAAGAAGACCAACCGGACGTGGTTCTTCTCCTTCACCACCAGGGACATGGCTGATGAAGAGGGGACAGGATGCTCCGCAGCTGACGCTCACCCCACAGGTGTCCCTGGGTGGCTGCAGCCCCGGTGTCCCTCTGTCTGTCCGTCCTCCCCTGCAGCGACTCAGTGCAGCCAGAGGAGCTTGGTGTCACCGCTCCGCAAACTTCGCCCCGGCTGTTTCGCCGCGCGCTCTACAATCCACAAGTCCAGCTCGGTTTTTTTTTTATCCTGGTTCCTCTCTGCCATGTGGCACCAAGCTGTCCAATCTCCAGTGGGTTGTGGGTGCTGGAGGAGGGAGGGCAGGGAGGGAGGAGAGCTGGGTGCTCCGGGCCAATCCGCGGAGTTCAGCCCTGGAAAGCCACTCCAGCCCTGGGGCTCGGCGCGCTGCGCTGCACCGCCGCCGCTGCCGGGAGCCGCAGCACCGCAGCCCTCCAGCACTGCTGTCCTGCCTGGAGATTAACGGGTGCTCCTTGGCATTCCTGGGCTTGCTGGCAGCAGGGACAATCAGTGGTGATCCCCACTCATTGGGTGGCTCAAGGCCAGGCATGTCAGGGGCTGGACAGCGGCACCCACAGTGTTTCTTGCGCTTACCTGGGGCTGGGGACTCGTCTGCAGACAGCGTTGCTGCAAACGTGCCCAAGCCTTCAGTGAAGCAATGAAATATTTGGCTTGAGGGGGAAAAATAAGCTCTCCCGTCCGTCATAACCTCCACACTCAGCTGTCAGTTATCCCCCGATTTTTATGAAATATTTAACCAGAGGGGAAAATAAAATCTCCCTGAAAACAGCGCACCGCGGTCTCCGTGAGCGGATGCCGGCAGACGTGGGGAGGAATGCTGGCCGTGACTCAGCTTTAGAGGTGCAGGCTGCCCCACCTGGGTGTGTTTCCTCAGCAGCCACCTTCCATTCCATGCTTGAGTTGTTTCAGAAGCTGATTTATGCAAAGTGCAAATACAAAGGGAGCTCGCTCAGAAGTCGGAATAAGTCTTTACCATAAATTTGGGCATGTGTGGTTTCTTGTAGCTTTAATGCAGCTGGTCTCCTTTCCATATCCAAGTCCCAGTTCCAGCATTTAGTTCTGGTTGCATTTATTGATTATGATTTATTGATCTGGCAGAAATCTGTTGATTTCGAAACCTTTTTCACAAGAATGATTCCTCCCTCTTAACCCCCAAATTATCGTTACATTTCAGCCATGTTCAGCTTTCCTTGGCTGGTCTCACTATTAGGAGAGCCAAGCTTGTATCAGGGTGAGAAGAGCCCTGTCCTGGTCTCAGCCTGCCCTTGGAGAAGGGAAAGGTTGGGTCTCTAACAGGACTGGCAAAGGATTGGTCTCCAGTAGCCCATGGTGTCATCTGGTGATGCACCTTGGCTCGCCAACATGAAGCTCTTTCTGGTAAGATTTCCTGAGCCATGGGGAGAGCCCAAAGGTGATGCCAAGGGCTGAGCTGTGGGAAGGAGCTGAGGATGCAGAGGATGTGATGGCACAGCTGTAGGACCTCGACAGGCTGAAAACCAGGAGGAGGGTGGCTGAGCAGAGGTGCTGGGTGTGAGCACGTGGACGAAGGAGTGATCACACTTTGGTGCCTGGTTGTGCCATTGGCATCAGTGGAAATGAACCAAACCTGCTGAGGAATCCAGGCAGGACAAGTAATCTTACCCCAGCTTTTGGGAGCTGTTTAAAGCCAAAACGCTTTTTTATTTGTTTGGTTGTTTTTAATAGAAAAGAATTTGGTCAATGCTTCTTTGTGCTTAGATAGACGTAGTGACAGGGGTTTTCAAGGGAGGAGATGAAAGGGTTTTTTCCATGGTTCCTCCCAGCTGCTCTAGCGAAACTCCACATGCCCTCAGGATGTGCTGGGGGACTCTGTGATGCCCTTGCTGCTGCTCCTTTTCCCAGCATTTCATTCCAAAGAGCCTCAAAACATGGATCTGTTCAACCTCACAACACCCAGCATCTCTCTCACAGGTCAGAAATGATGCTGAGGGTGAAGGAGGACCCCGTGGCAGGAAGGAATTGGGCATCCCAGGCTCCAAAACCCCACCCTGGCTCTAAACTCTCTACCAGCACCCCACAGTGAAGGAGCCATGAGCTGATGGACATGCTGGCAAATGCCAAGCAGTGATGCCATCCGTGGAGGGTTTCCAAACTCCAGACTCTGGCTGGGAAGGTGACCCTGGTGCTGTGGGAGCCAAGACTGGGTCATGTCATGAGCACTGTCCTTGGTCTGGGCCATTTCTGCAAAGAGTGGAAGTGTCCTGCGTGGTGTGGGCAGGACAAAGGACCAGCCCAGGCTGTGTGAGACAAAGAGATGTGGCACTGCAGTCACACACAGTCGACACACAGAGCCAGTCTCTGCATCCCCAATGATTTTTCACATCACTTGTCTCCCCTCAGTTCTCACATCTGTGCTGCTATGGTTACCGAGAGCCTGAAAGGTTTTAAATCTCCCTCAGAGCAGTGGAGGATTTCAGGGTAATCTTGTTAGGAGATGAGCAATGAATATTTCCAAAGGCCTTTTGCATGGATAGCTCGTTCCCCATGAGCTTATGGCCCCTGACAGCAGAGAAAGCAAAGGGTGGGGGGACTGTGTGCAGGGAAGGGAAGAGACAGGGAAGGATGAACACAGCAACTTGTTTTCCACTGCAGCCCTTTGTGCCCAGAGTGATGTCCCTAAATGCTGTATTTTTCAAGGCTGGCCAGCTTGGGTCAGGTGTTATTAAAAAACAAATCATTATTTCAGTCTGTGTTTCCCCCAGGGAAAGACTCACAGAGCCTTTATGGGCTCTTGGAGATGGGGACAGCCATGGATGAGTCCTACAGAAGAACTCTGCATCCTGTGAGATGAGCAGTGGGACCCACTGGGATGGCGGGTGGAGCTGAGGGGGCTTCGTGGCTTTTGCAGGGCTGCAGGAGGGAGGGAGCAGGATCCCTGTGGGATTTCGTAATCCAGGTGAAATGTTGGATCCTGCACCTGTGGGGACTGGAGCATGTCGGGGGCAAAGCCTCTGCCAGCTCTGTGCCCGTGGGAGAGGGGACCGTGACGCCCCAGGGAGGGAGGGAATGAGGGAGGCAGCAGGGAGGGAAAAGAGCCCTGAGCAGGGCAGGGAGGAGGGCAGGCAGTGGGAGAAGGGATGAGAGGAATCAGCAGTGGTGGGCAGGAGCTGGGATGGAGCCCAGGTGAGCCAGGGAGTGGGTTTGGGGCAGGTGGAGTCACAGCCTGTGAACATCCAGGATTGACAGGCACGTCTGGAGCAAAGGGGACATAAAGTGCTCTTGGTCATCCCTCCCCAGAGCCAACCCTCTGCAGGGCCAACAGCCATGGACCACTGGGACACCCCAGGGGAAGGTGAGGGACGGTCCCCAGGGTCCCAGACAGCGTCAAGGATAAAGCACAGCCGTAAGCCAAGCTTGGAACACCAGCCAGTCCCTGCCTGAGCAAGGCCCCAGCAGGTTGGGCAGCCCTTGGCAGTCAGGAGAGGGCACTTTGGGTCAGAATGATGGGAGATGGTGTGTGGGCTGCTGCTTCCCACCATGTGCTGGCCTGGGAGAACAGGGGGGAAGCTGCAGATGAAGGACCAGGGAGGCACAGGGGCAAGGGCAGGGGAGGGGGACCCCTGCTCCTGGACAAAGCCAACAGCACTTAATACAGGAGAAACTCTGGGCTCTGCTCCCCTCACACTGCTGATTGCAAGCAGGAATGTGGGACACCGTGGTGCCTCTTCTGTCCCTGAACAAGCCCACAGAGCTCCCCTGATGGAGGGGTGTGAGTGGAGTTCTGCCAAAAGAGTGTCCTGACAGTGTTTGCAGCATCTTTAGAAAACATTCATTTGTATCTGAAGCTTATGTTTGATGTCTGAAAGTGGCTGTGTGAGGGGGAAGCCAAAAAAAGCACACAGACCCTTCCTACTGCCCGAGTGCTGCCCAGCTCCACTGCCAGGCTGCAAGGTGTGAGCACGACAACTGCACACTCCAGGAACAGCCCATGCTGTGTCTGGACGTGGTTCTGGGGAGCTCACATCTCCCTGCTGGGCTGTCACGGTTCAGAGGCAGCGGTGGCTCTGGCGTTCCCAGGCACAGTGCAGGAGCAGCTGGTGCTGGGCACTGCTCCAGCGCTGGACACGGTGCCCCAGATCAGCACCACGGGTCACCCACAGGGTAAATGGGAGCCCTGGGCCTTGCCCATTGCTCACAGGCAGCGAAGCATCATTATAAATGTGGTGGTGAGTGGTTTGCAGCACCGTGACAGATTCCCATGACTCTGGGCCAGCTTCTGGAAGCTGTTGGAGCTGGCACAGCGCTGACTCCTGCCATGGGGTGCCCGGTGCCCCAGCACCCTGTGCCTTTGCACCCCACAGCAGGACACAGTGGCAGTGAGGGCAGCCTGTGCCTGCAGGGTGATCCCACCCCACGCCACCTGCCTGTGCCCCTGCCTCCTGTTTCTGCCCATGGATAAATTCATGGTGAGAGCGGCTGTGTTTCCAGCAGGGTTTCCTGGTGTTCCAGCTGAGGTGTTGAGAAGGGCAGTAATGAGGAACCCCAGAGACATCATCTGCACTGCTTGGAGTGTCCCCAGCTGCTGCCCATCACCACAGGCAGTGGGGGGTGTGACTCATTGCTTCTCCCACCTGGAATGAGCCCTGGGTGGGAGAGACCAGTGGAAAACAGGAGAGGTGAAGAGAGGGCTGGCAGTGAGCTGCCTGTGTGCCCCTGCTGCCTGTACCAGGGTCAGGGAGGCAGGTCCCCACCCCAGCGTGGGGACACCCAGCTGCACCAGAGAGGGTTAAACCTGCCTCTCTCGGAGATTAAATCCAAATGGCCTTTGATTTAGCGACAGGTGAGAGGAGAAACCTGAACCGCTGTGGCTTCCGCCCCCACTTTAAAGGGGAGCCGCAGCCCTCCCGGATGCATAGATGGATCAGCCATACGTGGTGCTCTGTGCCTGTCTGGAACAGCCTGTCACCATATGGATCCTGTTCCCGGAGCCGGTGGGGCCACCTGGGGAACGTGGCACTCCAAGGGGGGGCACGTGGGGGTGACAGGCCCTGGAGAGGGTCATGCCCAGCCTGGCTCCTGCCCTGCTGCCTGGTGACCCCCAGTGCCAGATGGGGTTAGAGGCAGGAGTTAGTGAGGGCTGGGTGTCAGTGGGGAGAGAG